AGATCTAATTTTTTTGGCGATCCTCGTGATACTGGTTTAGCACTTCTAGTGCCGTTCACACACAATGTATTGAGGAACCTTTGAATGCCTGGCCTTTGATAAAATATGAAAAAAAAATTACTACATGCTTATCACATATTTGCTCGTCAGCACTTCGTATATATTCCTCCAGGATAAAAACTCGCAATCGCATTGATAGATAATCCTCGATAATGTGAATATCATACCCTAAAGTCGGCAATCACAAACTTTCAGAAAGTTCCAGTTAAAATTCGACCATGAATGTTAACGGGTTAATTACGAGCAACTTTGAAAGATTATGGACTAGCATGTACAATTTCACAATTCATGGCCAATTTTCTGAAAATTCAACCGAATATGGCATATCAATAGCCATTACTACGAAAAAGATAATTTCGACCCAAATTCACAAGCGAATATAACTATTTGCGGTAAAACATGATCAACTGCTGTTAAAAATCGTTCTTCAGCATGTTTACCTCAGTAAAATTAGATTTCTTCTCTTTAATTTTCGTTCTGTAAAAAAAAAAAAGTCGGAGTATCTGTAATTAGCGTTGGCCTGTCCCATAATCGTAATGCCACTTTGCATTTTTGAATAGGTGCGAGAAGAACAAAAGGAAGAAATCTCATTGGTGCTTCGACTCCCGAAGACTTCCATGAGTTAATTTCAAACAATTGAAGTCGAAAAAATAGAAATCCGATACCAAAATTGCACTCCGACAGAGAATACAACATATCTCGGGAATAACGATATATATTTCTTTAAGGTCGGCCTTAGTGCTGCTCTCCCATCAGTTTCATCTTGTTGTTGAAAGCTTTCGCTTTTCTTCATATCGGTTCACTTCAATGTGATACATGTTTTAAATCAAGATTCTCAAAACCAATCAGCATGTTTTTCTTTTATCATTCATTTGATATTCGCAACTGTATACATATTGGAAATTTTGGTGCGGTAGAAAACCAATTGCATCATGTTTCTCAAAAATTATATTGAATCGAAATTTCTCTAATGCAGTGAAAATTACCAATTACTTTGCTAGATATGTGTGAGGCTTCCGACGCATTCCTATCTTCAATATTTTGAAACGGTTTCTGCAAAGGTTGAACCTACCTTTTTGGCGACACTTTTCACTTTCTTTAGATTTAGACCCTTGCCTCCCCCTTCGCTGGAACATCCCGGACTGTATCCTAACCATCACGGTTTCAACTCCTCTTTAAGTCCGAGGGATAACTTGCAAATTATGCATACCAGATGAGAAGACTTTTAAAATCTGCGACAAAGCGTCCGAACAGGTAGAGGTAAACTGTGATGCTCAACCTCCACCAGAGAATCTGACCCAGCTACGGGAAAACCGGATCATATCAAACTCATGGGGTACAAATAGTCTTAACATGAATGTAGTGACCACGCCCACTTCAACACCCCACTCATATCGAGTGTAATTTTCGAATGTTTTACCATCGTGCGGATTCTCTACTGAAAAAGCACTCAATGTACCTCTGAAATATTGAACTATAATATTGTGGCTTTCTATTTCGCTAATTTTCTAACTTGAAGATAAAGTTTTTCCCTCGTCATTTTTACCTTTTCTACGAGCGGTTGCCTGAAATTAACAAGGCGTTTTTGATCAAAACACGACCGAGCGAAGGGTCTCAGGCGATATCTCTTTTACGCAGGCGCACATTAAAAATGTACCGCCAGAATCAAAAAGAGGAACAAATTTCCTTTGTTTTGATATGTAAAGTGTCGAACAAAAAGCAGATTTACCTTCGTCAAATGGCGTTTCAAAACAGCTGTATCTTCCTCCTTTTGATTTTTTCCTGTTTTTTAAGCGTGAAAGCAGCAGGAGAGGGATCGGGAAACTCAGAAAGCGCTTCGGCAATTAATCTGCCATCGTTTACTTACAAGATAAACAAGTAAGATTTGTGAAGTTCGTTGAAGTATGAAGTCTAAATAAATGCCTTTTTTAAAGCTTGTTTGCTGGATTTTTCGTAAACTTCCCTAATTAATTTTTCGTTTCAGCTTACTAATCTATACTATTTCAAAGCAATGTAAAGACGAAGACGGAGAACCATGAGTCGGTCCTTTCAACAATCGTAAACAAAGTGTTTGAGCAATCAGGTATAAGAGGTGTAATAATCAATAGCCGCATATCAGAATTCTTCAGAAAGAAAGTATTCTGTCTTCAGAAAGCTGTCAACAAGGCTAGTAATCGTGGCGGAAGGCACTTCTTAGCAAGTTGGATACGGGCCCTCGGTATCGATTTGATATCATATCGATCTTAATATCATACAGTCTGGTATCTTTCTTCCGTAGATTCGCCTTTCTAACGAGGGTGTATGTTGAGTATTGATTGGAAAATCGCTTTGTTTTTTTTATTTACCTCTTTAGCCTGTCCGCCATTTTAACGAAGGCCTATTACGATGCAAGTCGTATTATATCTTTCAAAATTTAAAAACATTAGGATAAAAAAGAAAACATTTTCATAGCTCTAAGTTGCATGAAGAGCAACAATTAGCAATTAGATTTGCACCCAGGACGTGTAAATCTGCATTGTCAGCTTTAACTGTTTTAATTGAGTTATTTCTGCAGTATTTTTCTTTTTCTTAAGTTTGTAACGAATATTTTTTCAATTTTGTTGAAATAAGAAAAAAAAATCTTAAAACATAAGTCTGGCCATGATAAATCTTCTTAGATAAATTCTTAGTTCAAAGCATATAAGTGTATAAAGGGAAACTGAATTAATTCTCCAACACTCGCGTTGCCAACAGAAAGTGAAACTTGAATAAATGGGGCGTGGTACCAAACAGTTTGTCGATCCCTCTGGTCAAGAGGAACGAACCCATTTCATAATATTATAATAAAATATAATATACAAGCGAGCCCATCGACAAGATTAATGGAGGTTAGTTTATCCCATTGCAGGAAACGTTTGATGGGTAGAAATCAATATCACGAACTCCTCACGACACTCAGGAAGCAAGAAAATGATCAATAAAATTTTACTGCCTCAAACGTCCATCCAACAGGAGACTAACCGACCAGGAACTTAGATCTGTGATAGTGGAAGATGCACATAAAATCATTTTCTATTCTATTCCGAAAGTGGCTTCCTCAACGTGGAAAAGGGTGTTGGTGGATCTTCAGGAACTCAAACAAAAAATATATGTTCACCAACCAAGGTTATGGCGTCGCCTTGGCGAATACAGTGAGGAAGGACAGTCACATCGACTTAAGAACTATTTCAAGTTGATGTTTGTTCAGGAGCCACTACATCGGATCCTTTCTAGTAAAAATATTTGAAAAATGATCGTCAATAGCCTTCGTTCTGAGGATTCTGTCAGATATAGACAGGATATGAAGGAGTTTTCGTGGAAGCCAGCATTTGATAAAGATAACAATGTAAGTTTTCCTGAGTTCATCCGAAGATATACCACGCAACCTACACTGGCGGCAATTTAAAGATCAGTGCTATCCGTGTTTCTCTCTTTGATTACGATGTCATAGGTAATTTGGAGACTTTGGCAGAAGACGCCGCCCTTGTGTTAAAAATGGCGGGAATTGGCGACCGTGTAAATTTCCCGCCAATACAAAACGCGACAGGCTCACGTGATATGGAACATTATTACACCCAAGTTCCCCATGAAGACATAAAAAGGCTTGCAGAGTTATATCGAGACGACTATGAACTTTTCGGGTATGAATTTTTTGGTCCTGTGAAGCATTTACTAAATCAGTCTTCGAATATCGGTGTTTGAGAGTACCACAGAGTAAATTATACTTAGTTCAACATTGGAAATTTGAGTTCGGATAAAGCCTCACCGCAATGTAAACGTATTGATCAGAAAAATATGCTAAAATCTTTTGGAAGTCCAACTTCCTATGTAATCCTTGAGCGAGCGCCCTGGGTTCGACCGAGAGGGGTTTGGATCCAACAATTTCGAAACACATGGATTTCACTCGGCCGGAACGTTTTTCATTTTTTATGCAAAACAGAGACAGAAGATAAAATTATGTAAGGGTCAGCATGGCCAGGGCTCTCTGTTAACCAGTGTGAATAATTAATATGCAACAGATGACTATGCAAAACTAGTTTCCACGATAATTGACAATCCTTGTTCATCTTAGCATTGAAATACATCCCTACGCACTCTTTAGAACTTCCTGTTATGCTACAGTTAATTTGTCCCACTATGATGTATTTTTGTCGGGACCATGATGGAAGGAATCTGCACTTCTCAAGAGAACCATGATGGGTTTACCATGGTTCACGAGTAAACTGAATAAATATTATCTTTTCTTCTGGTTATAAAACTAACCACTACAAAAAGGCGAGGAAATTTTACGATATTCATACAGTTTTGCTGCATAATATAAATTTTTGTTGCAACAATCTTTCTGTAGCGAGGTAAACGAGTGACGGCCTCGCTGAAAACCCAGCGAAAACAAACACTTTCGTGGATGCACCCTTTTAGTCTTCAGACCTGTGGGAACAAAAGAAGGGCCGGAAGCTTTATAGAACAAGAGAAGGGCCGGAAGCTTTATAGAACAAAAGAAGGGCCGGAAGCTTTATAGAACAAAAGAAGGGCCGGAAGCTTTATAGCTTCAATAACAAGGTTGACACAGGAAGTTTGTGCCTTCAATAAAAAGGTTGACACAGGAAGTTTGTGCAGGTTGTCCATTGTGATATTTGTGTCAATGAAACATGAGTGTATGAATAATTCTATCCAGTTGACGTAAATAAAAAAATATTCTTTATATCTCCATATTCAATGCACAATACTTTTACTTGAATTTATGTTAGATGGTTAGAAACTGTTTTTTATGGCTATTCCAAAGTCTAATTTTACATGCCACAGGAAGTCTTGACCTTTTTTTAGAAGTAATAATGAAATCCGCATAGCTGACATTGCATAATGATTAAATTTTCAAATAACAATATCGACAGTTCAAAATTATTTTCATATGCTCGAAGAAAAATTAACGGAGGGCATTGTTCACAAGCAGTGAGAGGCACAGGAAGCCAGTAAAACGAGTGAAAGAACTGAAAGGTATTCCACAAAAAACTCATCAATTTACACTCCTAACAGCTTTAACAGATCGACAAGGGATGACAGCAGTAAAGTGGCTTGTACTTCAGCCCATTTGTGTTTTAGCAATTATAGTGCTGGCATTCACGAACTCGCTTTTTTAATAGTGAACAATAACCTTAAACAATTTGACGGGAAAGCCTTCACAGACAAGAATATTGGGAATGTATGTAAGAAATTTTGTACTTGGAAATTTATGTCACTCTCAAGAGCTAGAACATTCCATGTCCCACCAGGGCACAAAACACAAGTTTAATATGAACTTACAGTGAAGTCAAACTCAACCCAAAACCGCATGTGCCATGTGGCCAGTTGTGGTCTGCTTAACATTTATCTCTGAATAGCTGCTTCTCTTCGATGGAAAATGACGTTTTTTGCCTTTTGTGTTTCCTTCCTTCAAATCCAAAGGATTAGAGAAGCTCTGAGTTTTAGACATTTAAATTAAGAGCATGATACCCTCAGGCCATGCCGTGCATGAATCGATAAATGCTATCTTTGAGAATATCTTGCTAGAAAACAAAAAACTTCTTACGCTCTCCAAGGGGAGATAAAACGCAGCTGAAACCGAAAGGGAGCATTTACCTGGGACCCTAGCAAGCCGTGCAGGGACTATTTACTGACTGACGAGGCTAGGATTAAGTGATTTAATTTCCTTCTATATGTTTATTTCGCAGTTCATCTGTTTGTTGAATTGTTTGTTGCGATATGAGTTTCTCAATTGCAATATAAGTTTACTATAAGTCAAAACTTCACTTCGCTTTTTATAGAGGCGAGGTATCTCGGTTGCAAAGAAGTAAGATATAGAAAATATGCTTAGTAATACCCCAACTTGTACACTACTTTTAACTCGTTGTCGACCACAATTGGTATTACTTTCGTGCTTATGTCTGTGAACCACTTATTACCGAACGAATGTTATCTTTGTGGCTTTCAGGATTTGACCTTAATCAGCTGTAAAATGCCATTGGTTATCTGTGTAGTTTTATTCTTACTTGAAAAACAACTTGGGGCTTTGGGAAACAGATGTTTATCAGCTGAAGAAGCGACTAAGCGTGAGTACCTACAGTTTAAAATACCCGCCAATTTTTTCAACCGTTCTGAGCTTACTTAAAATATCTTTGAATTCTCCTCGTTTCGATCGAATACAGCTACTGCTTGATATAATACTGCAGTCAACTTGGAAGAAACATGCTTTGAAATTCTAATGATTCATGTCTAGGTCAGTACTTTGCCTGGCTAAAACGGTAATAGAAAGAAATCAAAGAAATCTTAGTCCCAGTAATTCCTGACTTTATGGCTGGATATTTCCAAGGACTATAAGAGTAACCATTGGCCTTATCCACATATTTATATTCCGTTTATTGTCCATCTGACCATTAAAAGGGTGGTACTGGGTCATTCACACAACTGCAGACCACAACAGTCTTATTCCATTTTCTTTTATTTTTGGTAGGTTTATCTTGGCATGGAGTCTTGAAATTCTTGTTTTACCTACTTTTATTTTAGCAACCTCAATCACGCCAACTGTGGAAATGAACAACTTGGAATTCCCGAATGAGCACGTTCTTCCAACTGGCTATAATATAACAGTCGTTTGTACAAGCAATCATCCAGCTAAATCGGATCATAAATTGTACTTACCCTACTGGATACAGTATTTTTTCAACGATGTCTACAAGAGAGAATTGAGTTGTGGTGGTGGCAATAGTGACTCAGATTACGAACGTTCAAAAGTGTGCAAATACTTTATTCAAAACGCCACCGAGGATAACTCTGGGAATTATACCTGCATCTCAAGAAATAGTTATGGCTGCACAATGAAAACAATGGCGCTGATGTTTAAAGGTAACATTTCGTATTAGTTGTTTCTTGTTATACATTATAACAAAATAATGAAGTAGTTCACATTTAGTTTGGTATCTACATGACATTTCATGTCGGGTAAAACTTACATTGTATAATTTTTCGCTAAAAAAACCACGAAGATGTATCAATTTGAATTGACGGGTAAATTGAAAACCGCTGATAACAATTTCATATCATATCGGTCTTGAAGGAAAGTGTGTAATTCGACTTGTTTTCTTTAATTTTAAATTTTTAAATTTCTTTTTTTTTTTTTGTTTCATCATAGAGCCATCACCTCCGCTTTTTACTCATCACCAGCCTCGTGAAGTCGACTTTCTAAAATCTAGTAAAGCCAAACTCAGCTGTAATGCATCAGGTGTTCCCCTTCCCTCCATCACCTGGTTCAAAGACGGTAATAGCCTTTCCAGTTCTTCTGTGATAGGGTCAAAAAGTTATTCAATATTGAATTTTGAATCTGTACACCCTCATGACCAAGGACAGTATTGGTGCGAGGCAAACAACACAGAGGGGCAGAGCAGATCAGCTCCTGTAAATCTAACAGGTATTGAAACATTTCACTTTTTTGAAAGAGCATAATAATCTTCAAATAATGAGGTGTTTTTAGAGGTAATGATCATATCCTGTATGCAGGTCATCACACGTGTACGTATGTACATAATTTTGCGTTTACCAACTTTCTTCTTAAAATAGGACAATTACAATATTCCATCTACCACATGGGGTCCCTGATGATTCCATGGACCGCCAAATGCTTGGAAACAACCGGATTTCTATTTCTGAGGACTTACCTCCACTTTTTCTTCTATCTCGATAACTTCTTCTCCAAACAATTTCTCGAAGTATACCGATCGTAAAATATTTGAAGTTTGTTTCTGTCTATATCTCAAAACTTTGCCGTAGTTTTTGCAATTATTATTGAAAATGGATCTTGACCAATGAGCGTGCGAGAATTTCTACGGTTGTGGTTAAAGTATTCTTATGTCCCCCCCTCCCCCACCCCCACTCCCCATCCATCTCACTGGCAGTTGAAGTCAACTTTCTATAGTCACCCCCATTAAACTCTGTCGGTGGCAAATGATCCCCCTTCATGCCACCTAAAAGAACTTGATCCTCTGGTTGTCTAGACCGTTCAGTACAATGTTTGTGTAACCGTTGATGTTACTTTTAGTGGTGTGGAAGCCAGCGTTCTACATTCATCCCCAAGACACAACTGTATATCTTGACGATGATGCCACCACCGTGACGGTTAATCTCTCGTGTGCAGCAAATGGCTCCCCACTTCCAGTGATCAGTTGGTTAAAAAACAACTCCAAAGTTGATGATGATGCAGTGATTCGAAGTCAAAACATCTCCATCCTCACTGTTGAAATCAAGGAGGGGACAGAAAAGCACTTTAGATATCGTTGCGTTGCTAAAAACTCGTTGGGAAACACATCTTCCCAGGAAGCCACACTGATGATCGCAAAACGCGATGAGGAACGTTTACCAATGGAGGGTGAGCTTACAGCTCTGATTCACAAATAAGATAACGGTCCATAGCGGAAAGTAATTAGAAAAGATCAAACCTCCTCTGTTTTAGTTATAGAGAATGTTTTCCAAATATTTCCCTAAAGCTTAGGCTGGAAAATCGGCTAGAATTAAGTTAGAATCTATTTTTTTTTTTGCAAAGGCCATAATGCGAATTAAGCCACACGAATATGCCAAAATCAATGCGATCCAAAGCCTCGAGTTTGGATGTTATTTATTAGTAGTGGACACTCGCTAAACGACTAATATACTGCTGGAATAATTTCGCAGTTATCTTTGTCTGTTATTCCTTTGTGATTTCGCCTTGTTTCTTTTCTACAGTTGCATCAACCCTAACATAGGCTAAGGTCTTAATTTTTGAAACTAGGTATTGTGGAGGGAGAAAGCCCTTTCTACCTCCAACCCAGAAGCATCAAGGCTATTGCAGGAGACCACGTTGATTTCGTGTGTGCCATAGAGGGTAGTCCTGTCTCACAAATCGTGTGGTTAAAGGATGGTTCAGCAAATTTGGACGGTAACACTGATTACTACTCAGGAGAACAAAGTGCCACCTCTGTGCTCAAGATCTACCCCGTGAGTGAAAGACATGTTGGTCGTTATTCATGCGAAGCAACAAGATTCGCGGGAACTGCAATCTCGCGGGAGGCAGTACTCGTAATAACAGGTAAGGATGAAAAGAGGCTGAATCGTTGTAACTTTTTGTGTACCTAAGGCCGTCATGAACTAGGTAATCCTGCATTATAATGACATCGCACTCTTAACTTTATTTTTTTCCATTTTAGATAAAGAATCCTCTCGTTCCACATTGTGCATTTCCATAGCTGTGTGGGTCCCAGTTGCTACAGGAGCTTTTGTACTACTTCTTATTGTCATTTCAATATTTTTTGTTCACGTCAGAAATAAAAATGCTAAATTCAACATCGCGAAAAAGGTAAGATGGTACAAATGTTACTTTCCTGTTGTTTTTGTTTTTTTCTTTTTGTGAAAAACTTATTTACAGAGACTGATTTATTAGATATACACTACAGTGCAGTCTAAAACGGTGATATCTGTTTATATTGGTCTTCCAGATGAGAGAAGATAACCAATTTCCACATCTTCACACCCAAGACGATATGATAAGTCAACAAAGAGGAGACAGTAAAGCGCCGCGATATCAGATGACAAACTTGGCATTTACAAATCTGTGAAATTTTATCCTTTGCACCGTCACATAGTTTGTATCTAACAAAAGTGGAATTGAAGTACTTCGATTCGCCTCCACGATGCCTTCATGTTTTTATTACTTATTTAGCAGACAATTCTTTAGGAAAAGGGACAATGCCTATAACTTGTAAAAAACTTTTAAGCAGCTCAGAATCATCAAAAAGTGGATTGTCCTTCAAAAATTGTTTATTGGTGAAATTTCCCCAATTTAGGGAATTTACGATCTCCCGACATAAGGCCAGGGAAAACATCACTTAGAAAATGATTTTCTATTAAGAGTAGATCGATGTGTTTACCAGTTTAACGTCTCTAAAGACGCCAAACCTTCCATTCAGCATTAATTGGGATGCGGCCTAGAGTTCTTAATGAATAATACGTCGTCGGCATTCTTTTCTTAGACTGCCCTAAAAATAGGGCGATTTCAGGTTTTTATTTAGCATAGAGCTGTCAGGAAAAGGAAAGAGGTTTTAAGTACAGGCACTGAGCTATTGTTCTGTTCACTAAATCTCTTCTTTCGCCACCTCCCCGCTGCAGTCTGCATCGTGAGGCCCTATCGTGGTTTTTCTACATTTTCGTCATTGTAACAAACAAATGTCTTCGCCACCTTATTAATTGTTCGCTGTATGATATTATACCCTTTTTTGTTACTCGTTCGTTTAGCTGTTTTTGTTTTGCCTTTATCCATGTTCTTTCCTCATGTTTTGCATAATATTCTATTTGTATCAATCAGCTACCTCAAGCAAGCAAATGGTAAATAAAATCAGTTATAGAAGAGAGTTGTAGTTGGTGATTGACTTTAAATCTCAATGCATGTTATACTTAGGTTCAATTCCCTTATAACAAGTCACAGAGTTTTGTTCCTGGATTTTGTTATGAAAACCTTTCTGTTGCTTTGAGTTTTTAAAAGTTATGATATCCTAAACAATTGACAGGAGACCAACAGTCTGGCTGGAATGATAAAATAAAAAGATAATTATAACTATGGTTAGGTTTTGTTGAACTCTGTCTATCTTGAGTCATGCAACTTTTGTGATCCATTTTTAGAATCTTTAATGTATCCCAACGGGTGGCTCAGCCAGGCTGGCTAAATGGAATGGTCAGTTGAAAACAGGAACTTAAAAGTTAAATGGGGAAGGGGGAAATTGTTATTGCACTAGCGTCCGTCTTAATCGTGATGTAGGCTGATAAAACTTGAAATTCAACTGAAAGAGACATATATCACGTTAATCGAGTCGTCATGGTTTCTTCAAGGGATGAAGAGGATTGATATTTTATTAAGTTATTTGAAGAGCACAAGCTGTGGCGCTCTTCCCTTTAAAACATTTCGCTTTTACGCCAGTCAGTTTTATTAGCCCGTAATGGACTCGTAATGCAGCTTGTAAGCCCAATATGACGCGGCCATATTTTAAAATTAATACTTTTTATTTCTTACAAAAACATTCCAAATTGGTTAGTTGTATTTCCGGTCGTTTTATAGTTGAGATGAGGTCACTGCGATTATCATTTAGTTCCATAGTTGGTTTCTACTTCCACTTTATTTATGTTTTTGACAAGGAAAAACCAGCGAGCGTAGCTTGTCTGCAAAGAATATCTAACACTAGACTTCTTCTCGTATTGGCCGACATTTTCCATTTCCTAAATACTGAAGTTTGTTATGTCTATCACATATCATCGTTTTCCGCAATCCCCGTGTATTTCTTTACGTAGCTAAACCGGATGTAAATAAGCATATGTTTTGAAAGTTAACTATTTTCTATTTTCATATGAAATTATCGATGTTGGTCTTTTATTCGAATCCATTATAATTTGCTCATTCAAGTTTATTTAGCTTAGCTCGATATAGGTAACTCTACACTAAACATCACGCAAACCAGTTGCATAATCAAGGATCCGTGCCCGATTAGAGGCTGTGTCAATAGATTGACAGCACCAGTTCATCTCAGCAGCCATTTGCGTCATAAATGAAATGAAACTCGTGGTAGAAAAATGTATATACTGCTTGGTCAATGGAAGAAGAGCGTAAGGTAGGACTTTTCTCAGCTTTGTCACTTTTTTTCCACCTTATTGAAGTTTGTTTACGGTTGAATTCATGAACTTGACTCGAAATTTTAGCTTCCGCTGTCGCACCCAAACGTATGAAGGGCGAAGATTTCATGACATACTAGTTTGTTGTAGATATCCCGATTACCCTTTTCTAGTACTTTAAACCCGACCAGGCATTCGAGATTATTAGGCATTTAGAAAAGGGTTATCATCGTAAGATGACGTTCAACAAATACATAACCCTATGTTTTCCGACACGCTACAACAGTTGATATACTTCTTAGTCTATATAGAATCGTGAATTTTTATTCCCTGGAATATTCTTTACAATTGTGAGCTATAGTTATTCTCCTATGGAAAGCAAAGTGTTGTTTTTATCGATTACATAGTAAAATTAAATGGGTGAGTTAGCCAAGGATAATGGCCGACATGCAACTGAAGCGGAACTCGTTGGCACGTAGTGAAGCGTGACGCACGTGAACCACTTTCAAGATTTATCGATTACACGTCATGTTTACTTATGAAAGGTGAAAGAGAGCCGTTAACTGTAATTCTGGAAAGCATTGGCAGAACAACTTTTTTTTCTTCTAACGGAATGAAATAAGTCCAATGATATTTCAAGATCGATAAATTTCAGTTGGCAAAAAGCCTCACATGTTTACCTCTGCGGTAATGAAAATCTTCGAGGAAATAAAGGGAAATAATAGGACAGATATCAGCGGATTACCGGACTTGCAATAAAACAAATATGATCTGAATAAATAAAATTTTATTATTACGGTGTAATATTCGCTTGGACGGCTTCTAAAATCATGTCCGGACAAATACCTTTTAAATGTAATTTCGGTACCTCTCCAATGGTAATAGTTGCGAGGACCTTTGCGACAATTTTGTATTGAATTTGCTTTATACGCTTACTTTTTTTAAGTGGAGATTTGGCTATTAAGCACTAGCATATTATTTTCTTGGTTAGCTCTGAAATAAAGGACTTTTTCCTTCTAACACACGTGTTAGTTATTTTCAGCTTAAAACTTCTGTACCCGTTTTTCTTTACGCGTCGTTACGAACTATTGTACTGTAGAAAGAAAACATAAACATTTAAAGTTCCTTGATGGGTCTGTAACTTGTTTCGCTTCAAATTGAATTCTGAGAGTGTTAGACAGGTGGTTGGCTGAAAAACAAATAACATCATGGAGTAGCACAAATACAAGTTGATTTGCATGTGTAGTTATGGTCTTTTGTCCTTGGAAATCTCTAAAGTGATGTGTATATTTTCGCAATTTTGCCAATGTCAAGAAGCACATTCAAAACTTAAAGGTAATGAATAATTTTTTTGTTAATGATCCTTTTTTTCTTTTTTCAATTGTTGATGTCAATAAACTTAAATTATTGGATCCTAGAATCTATTAAAAATATATTATATTGTATAATTTTCACTAGTATTCTGCCGAGTAAATTTAATTTGATCTAAGGGCAAATAACTCAATATATCTGTCCATTCTGTTTAAGACAACAACGTTATTGTCTTCCTTTTCGCTCATCAATCAAATTGGGTCCTCCAAAATGTTTGTCGCATGTCTTTCAAAACTTTCAATCGTCAATCTGACTCATTGATCATAGGAAAGAAAGACATCACAGATACTGAAAGTGTAGGTTAACCACAAAGGTAGCCACAGCAATTATGCGCAAGATACCTTGCCAAAATTGCCACTCCAAAACAAACGGATACACTAAAGAGTTTGATGTGGCTGGGGGAAAAAACCGTTTTGTATTCTCTTTCCACAGCGTGAAGACGCAGATACTTGTGGAAATCTGACTAAAGCATACAAAGACAACAAAGCTTTAAGATGCCAATGCGTCAAATGGTAAGTCAAATCGTATTCATTGTGATGCGACCAACTGCAACGGATTAGCAACGAGTGAAGGCTATCGTGGGGACCATATTAATTTGATCCACTTGTTTTCGTTTTCTTTTGCATATTTAACTGACCACCTTTGCCTTAGTAACTTACGAAGCTCAGCTTTTAATCTACATGAAACAGTAAATTGATGGACCCCTGTCCTCACCCTCTTTCTCAATCTCTCTCAAACCTGGTTAGATTCCCTCGGTTGTTTTGCAAAACTCGTATCAATAAATACTTCATTTGCTTTTAGGGAAATGATCTTGACAGGTGTACCCGTATTAAGTGCAACGTCAAGAATTCATTGCTTCTAGGCTTTTCACAAAAAAATTAGACTGACACTTAACAGCTCATTTCCTATCCACTACTTCCTGCCTCAGTGATGGGTCTGAAATGCGATACGAGTTTCTAAACATAAGTTATGGGTTAAAAAATTCACTTCGCTTTTTATAGAGGCAAGGTATCTCGGTTGCAAAGAGGCAAGATACAGAAAATATGCTTAGTAATACCCCAACTTGTACACTACTTTTAACTTGTCGTCGACCACAATCGGTACAACTTTCGTGCTTCTGTCTTTGCACAACTTCATACAGAATGAACTGTATCTCACATCCGTAGTTTGTGGTTTTCAGAATTTGACCAAACTCAGCTGTAAAATGCCATTGGTTATCTGTGTAGTTTTATTCTTACTCGAAAAACAACTTGGGGCTTTGGGAAACCGATGTTATTCAGCTGAAGAAGCGACCAAACGTAAGTTCCTACAGTTTAAAGTACCCGTCAATTTTTTCAACCGTTCTGAGTTTACTTCAAAGATCTTTGAAATCTCCTCGTTTTGATCAAGTCCAGCCATGGCTCGATATGATACTGCAGCAGTCAACCTGGAAGCAACATCATTTGAAATTTTAATGATTCATGCCTAGGTTAGCAAACGGTAATAGAAAAATCTTAGTACCAGAAATCAAAGAAATCTTAGTACCAGTAATTCCTGACTTTATGGCTGGATATTTCCAAGGACTAGAAGAGTAACCATTGACCGTAACCACATATTTATATTCCGTTTATTGTCCATCTGACCATTAAAAGTGTGGTACTGGGTCATTCACACAATTGCAGACCATAATAGTCTTATTCCGTGTTCTTTTATTTCTGGTAGGTTTATCTTGGCATGGAGTCTTGAAATTCTTGTTTTACCTACTTTTATTTTAGCAACCTCAGACAGGCCAACTGTGGAAATGAACAACTTGGAATTCCCGAATAAGCACGTTCTTCCAACGGGCTACAATATAACAGTCGTTTGTACAAGCAATCATCCAACTCAATCGAGTGATAAATATTACTTACCCTACTGGATGCAGTATTTTTTCAACGATGCCTACAAGATAGAATTTAGTTGTGGTGGTGGCAATAGTAACTCACATTACGAACGTTCAAAAGTGTGCAAATACTTTATTCAAAACGCCACCGAGGATAACTCTGGGAATTATACCTGCATCTCAAGAAATAGTTATGGCTGCACAATGAAAACGATGGCGTTGATGTTTAAAGGTAACATTTCGTATTATTTGTTTCTTGTTATACATTATAACAAAATAATGAAGTAGTTCACATTTAGTTTGGTATCTACATGACATTTCATGTCGGGTAAAACTTATATTGTATAATTTTCACTAAAAAACCACGAAAATGCATCAATTTGAATTGACGGGAAAATTGAAAACCGCTGATAACAATTTCATATCATATCGGTCTTGAAGGAAAGTGTGTAATTCGACTTGTTTTCTTTAATTTTAAATTTTTGAATTTTGTTTTTCTTGTTTAATCATAGAGCCATCACCTCCGCTGTTTACTCATCACCAGCCTCGTGAAGTCGTCTTTCTAAAATCGAGTAAAGCCAAACTCAGCTGTAATGCATCAGGTGTTCCCCTTCCCTCCATCACCTGGTTCAAAGACGGTAATAGCCTTTCCAGTTCTTCTGTGATAGGGTTAAAAAGTTTTTCAGTATTGAATTTCGAATCTGTACACCCTCATGACCAAGGACGGTATTGGTGCGACGCAAACAGCACAGAGGGGCAGAGCAGATCAGCTCCTGTAAATCTAACAGGTATTGAAACATTTCACTTTTTTGAAAGACCATAATAATGTTCAAATAATGAGATGTTTTTAAAGATAATGATCATATCCTGTATGCAGGACATAACTACACGTGTACTTATGAATATGATTTTGCGTTTGCTGACTATCTTCATATCTTTGTAAAGTGGGACAATTACAAGATGGAGTCCCTGATGGATTCTGTGGACCGTCGAATGCTTGGGAACATTTTTTTTCCAGTAGCTTACGGTGGTTCTTAAAACCATGATATAGTGGTAATGCTTCTGAAAGACCACATGTAACGGTTGCCGAGAGTGTGTATGTTAAAATCTCGAGCTTAAGGGACTGGTCATAAGCTATTGCCTAAAGGGGAGGGGGAGAATTTTAGTTGTGTCATAATAAAATTTACCTTATTCACAGGGGACATCAAAATGTGGTAAGAACATCAGTGACACACTCGGCTGCGCCTCGTGTGCCACTTTTTTGTTCTTACCACATTTTGGCGTCATCCGTGATCTATCACTGAACAGACGCACGGCAACTTGGAATCTATTTGTTAAATTGATAATAGCTCTCGGCCAACGAGCGCACATGAATTTCTAAAGTTAAGGTAAAAATATTCTTATGTTCCTCCCTCCTCCTCATTGGCAGGTGGCTCGAGGTGAATTCTCTATAGTCACCCCTCTCAAACTCTTTTGGTGGCAACTGATCCCCCTTCGTGTCAACTAAAAAAATGTGATCCCCGGGTGTCTGGACTATTCAGTACAATGTTTGTGTAACCGTTGTTGTTACTTTTAGTGGTGTGGAAGCCAGTGTTCTCCATTCATCCCCAAGACACAACTGTGTATCTTGACGATGATGCCACCACTGTGACTGTTAATCTCTCGTGTGCAGCAAATGGCTCCCCACTTCCCGTCATCAGTTGGTTAAAAAACAACTCCAAAGTTGATGATGATGCAGTGATTCGGAGTCAAAACATCTCCATCCTCACTGTTGTAATCAAGGAGGGGACAGAAAAGCACTTAAGATATCGTTGCGTTGCTAAAAACTCGTTGGGAAACATATCTTCCCAGGAAGCCACACTGATGATCGCAAAACGCGAGGAGGAACGTTCACCTATGAAGGGTAGGCTTACAGCTCTGATATCGGACCATAGCGGAAAGTTACGAAAAGATCAAATTTCCTTTGTTTTAGGTACAAAGAATGTTTTCCAAAACTTCTTCGAAAGCTTAGGTTGGAATATCGGCTTGAATTAAGTTAGAGTACTTTTTTTTTTGCAAAAGCCGTGACGCTAATTAAGCGACATGGACATACCAAAATCAATGCGATCTAAAACCTAGAGTTTGGATTTTATTTATTCATAGGAGACATCTTGAACATCCTTGTTTTCAGTTTTTTTATCTAAGGGCTACTTCAGTGACTAGGGGCATTTTTTTTTTGAAAGAAAAATCACCACCCTTTTAATTAACCGTGTGCTTTACTTGTGCTTTATATCTAGCATAGTATTTTTTATACAATTGAACAATTTTTGCTAAATCTCGCAATTTCAGCTGATAACGGAACAGTCACCAAAGAAACTTGGTCCGCAATCATTTGGTCCACTGCAATAACCGGGGCTTCAGTTCTTATTTTCATCATAATTCTGTTCGTTATCAAGAGGAGTATGGAAAAGAGATCAATCTACCTACTAGACAAGAAAGTAGGTATTTAAATCGCTAAATCATCGCCTTTTCCTGTTTACCCAATAATTATCCCGAGACTACACAGGTTTTTCCTCACTAAGAGCTGGTCCTGCCATTGATTCGCACCAAATTTTCAATGAAATGCAAAACTGAGTAGACAATCTGGACTTGTTCAGCTTTATTTTCTCGCATTGAGTTTGCACACATTTATTTTGCTCTCTAATAGCCTTCTTTCGATTTACCTTTGTTGTGAAATTTGTTATTAATTTAGTTTCGGTTTTAATGAGGTCAACAGAGATGGGCACGATAAAAAAATCCGCCCTTTGGTGTACACATTAAGGTCTTTTAAAAGCATACTGGTGTGATGTAATCCTTGTCATTTGTCAAATTTAGGTTTTTAGAAGGACACAAGAGGCTTTTGAGATAAAAATCACGAGCACAAACGATACGATAAATCAGTTACGAAACAGCCAGTCTGCATTAACCGATGATGGTCAACACACGGATCCATCTACTTTTGACGAAAACGAAGTGGTTGGAAACGAAATTTATTTGCAATTAATGGCAGTTGACAGAAACTGGGAGATCCCCCGGGATAGATTGACTATTTCAGAGGAGAAACTTGGCAAAGGAGAGTTTGGAGAGGTTAAGAAAGGAGTTTACCTAAGAACTGATGGAAATGAACTTCCAGTGGCGGTGAAAATTCTTAAAGGTTGAAAAATTAATCCATGTATTTGAGATTAAAATGATCGAAGATATATCTTTCAGAGGGTGTTTACGGAAGATAAATCTCACCTGTCCTTAAATTTCCAGCCTAGGATTAGTATTATCGTTAAGCATGATAGCCTATACGAGTAATAATAATAATTAAATATTTTATGAACTTACAAAGCGCATGCTACATGAAATTAAAGTAATTTACAGTAAAGGTCGGAAAATGAAGCGCAGCAGACATGTTGACAACAATCAACCTTAAATTGTGTTAATAATGTTAGTGATGACAAAGGACATGATATCAAACTGGACAGCAAATGACAGAATTGAAACCTAAAAATTGGGGACATTTTTCAAGATTTGTGTTTTGCGGCGTGCCAACTTAAACTTAACGTCCAAGCCCTAAGTGATAAGAACGTCATACATACCTTTTGGTGGAAAAAAACTCTTAGAGCAGAAGGGAACCAAGTATTTGGCCATAATATCATAAAGTTAGTTTTCATACCACGTCTTCTTTGACAGATAACAAAGACAGACAGCAGCGAATGGCGCTAATCAAAGAACTGGAGACACTCATCCAAGTTGGTCGCCATCCGAATATTGTCAGTTTGGTCGGAGCTTGCACCTTTGAAGGTAAGGGATCGGCGATTCAAAAAGTTACGGCGAACGTTGGAGGGCAAGTTGTGTCAATGAAAATTTGTGTAGCGGAGATGGAAATAAGATTTAACAAAAAACAATTGTACTGTGGGTGCAGAGCCTTCGTCTTATTTCGATGATTTAGGGAAAGTCTTCATCTCTAGCCCAGAGGTTTTAAAAAGTATGCAGTAAGATGAATTTCGATAAACCGATTTCAAATTCACTGAATCCAAATTAAACTTAATTAATTCGTTTTTGATTCACCGGCACACATATCTTTAAATGAAAGATATTTCCAAGAGACTAGTTTTTCCATGGTAATGTAAAAAATGATGTATCGATTTATTAATTGATTTGCGTTCATTGATGAAGGGATCATTTTGGGCCATCACAACAAATCCAATGAAGTTTTCTGGAGTCAGCAGTGCAGTGTGATGTTTCAGAAGCACTGTAAGTTTTCAACGTTTCTTTTTCACCTCCAGAGCCTCTTTGCATCGTCATTGAATTTGTCTCTGGTGGAAGTCTTGATAAATTACTTCGAAGCAGTCGCGTCCATAATCAACAAGTTGATCCAACTTATGTTAACATATGGTCAAGGCTGACAGAGAGAGAATTATTGAGGATTGCTTCAGACGTCGCTAGCGGCATGAGCCACTTGGAAAGTAAACAGGTTTGTTCATGGATTCGTGAGTGAGGCACATTTTCTTGCTGGATATACTTTTGGTAACAGTTTTATTTGATATCTTGTCGGGAAATGCAAACTAAATAGTTGCGGACTGTAAGCGGCGAAATGCAGATGGTACGTACATAGAGTGGTGCGAAGGAAAAAAAATCCCAAGAGAAATGCGAGCGAAAGAGAAACTAGATTAAAAAAGGTATAAACGGAACATTACAAGCCAAAAGATGTAAACAAAGTAATGCAAAATCCAACTAAGTTAACAGAAATGACAGATAAAAATGGTTTCGCACAATTGACGGATAAGAATTGAGGAGAAACGATTCCTGATGATGGTTATAGAGATAATGACACTTACATAGGTCCGCATGGCATGACTAGATAAGTAGTACTTAATTTCGTTTATCTGTGATTCAGTGCATTCATCGCGACTTGGCGTGCAGAAATGTTCTTGTTGGAAAAGGGTTGGTAGCCAAGGTGGCTGATTTTGGAATGGCACGTGACGTATCCACAGATGGGCAGTACATCAAGACAACAGAGGTATATATTTTACTTATTGCTCAGAACGATCTTAATGACTGGAACTCCGACAGCTGAGTGGAACTCTACAGAATTTTAAACTCACGCATTAACTCACTTTGGGTGGAGAGCTGGTTTGCCAGCATAACTCACAATCCTTAACAAAATATCTATTGGTTCCCACCTTTTCACAACAGTCATAATATAACCGACGAACCACACTGAGAGACTTCACTACATTGATGAATCTTCTCTGAACAGTCAAAAGGAAAGTCAAGTGATTACGGTACTACAACGTTCGATATCACCATTACGGCGAAACTGAGATGGGACTCAGTTCTCTCAAAGCAGACTTGCCACAATAAGATTACAATGAATTTTTCTGAGGGTAGCCAAACCGCCAGTCTGTGCTCTCGACAACACTTATCGCGATCAATAAAATTGTATGCCATAAACAATTTCTTCCGAGAAGTAAGCATTTGTGAACTAACTTACGAAACTTTATCTTAGGGACGAGTTCCATGGTTATGGATGTCTATGGAGGCGTTAAGGGGAACTTGTACAATAAAGGGAGACGTGTAAGTTATCGGTATTTCCAAGCTGAAATTGGATTACGATAAAGACTTAAAATTTCCGAGCTTTACTATTATATTATACTCCTTTCTAGGTGGTCATTTGGAGTAACCCTTTGGGAGATAGTTACTCTTGGTAAGTAAAAGCCTTATTGATAAAATTATGTTTAAAATTAAATTATTGATATCGTAACCAGGAAGAAAAAAAACTAGACACTCTCCGCTCTCCCTCAATCCCAATTTTCTAAAATAGTTTAGCCTGCGAGCAGGTCGTCATTATGTGCGCTGCAGGACGCGCCTTTCTCCTTCCTCGAGAATACTTGAGACGAGTTAGGGAGAGGTTTACCGGGGGTACGGCATCAGTGCAAGACAGTTTGTAGACCTCTCGCCGATTTATGTTTCTCAAGGTCTTTAACTTTCCCAAGGGCGAGGAAACGCACGTGCTTAAGTTCTGATAACAAAGGCTTGCCTTTAGGCTAAAATAGGTATGGGATTGGGACCCTAGTTTAATGCCATCGATCAGTGATGCAAGTGGCAGAACATGGTGTGGAAAAATCGAAATAGAATTATCAAGATTCTGTGATAAAATTTTCAAGCATCCAAGTTACATCAAAAAGGATTTTATTACCTAGTAGTTTTACTTAAGGTTGGCCATGACGTTTCTAGGCACGAGAGGATCTTCTTCTGATTTTAGCTGACGTTTTAATTGCATATAGATCCTTAGTTGAAGGGTACTAACTTATACTGATAGACCTTTTTCATCTTATGAGATGGAGGGTATTACCATCCAACTGCATTTGATCCTTCTATTTCTAGGGGAACTACCGTACACGGGTATCAAAGGCATTTTAGAGCTTTACGAATTGCTGGAGGATGGAACAAGATTACCAAAACCACTGCATTGTTCGGATGAGCTGTAAGTCTCTCATTCTGCATCTTGTCTTAATGTAATAAGTCATAATGTGCTTTTATTTCATCTATCATCTTTTTTTCCCTTCAAGTGACTAATCCACGCAAAAATTTTATTCTGAATAACTCCTTAGTGTCTTTATCATTCATTTGCGGAAGTGGAGATAACAATCCCCATTTTTGATCATTTCTATGAAGACCACATATAACCATATTTGACTGTCAGCAAATGCTTGATTTCAGTATTTCAATGCAACCACACGATCAAGCGTACTTTACTGAAAACTTCTGTTGCAACTGTAGATTATAAAAGCAAGCTTTTATTTTTTGGGGTCTAAGTTTGGTACAACAAAAATTAAGAACCGTTTTGAGCTTTAAGCCATTAGGTTGATACAGTGTTTTCTGTGTTACATTTCAGTTATAGCATCATGTTAGGCTGTTGGCAGAGGAACCCTGTCGAGCGTCCATCATTTGAACAGCTTTATGAGATGTTGGAGGAACTTTTACAACAAGAGACTGTGAGTGGGCCCATAAAGCTTAGTTGATATTGATGTTTTTCTTCCCGTTTTCTGAATTTCATCGCTGTTTTGTTTCCATTTCTAATAATGAGAGGGGACATACAATAATTAGCAAAATGATAACGATAGCTCATTTGTCTGAGGTTCCTCGAAGGAATGAAGCAAACTAACATGGTTAAGTATTGCTTCCAAATTTTTTGGTTAACCTACGGTCGACTTCCCATTTTTGTCGACAGTTAAGCTACAGAATGTGTTTTAACATTCAATTTGGGCAGTAGGAGCTTCCTTTGATACCATGGGAAAGGCATTATCCTCTCATTCCAGGCCTTGTGTATCGAGGATGAGGAAAAACCAAGTCTGGTCAGTCGGAATAATTTTTAAATCATGCATTTCAGAAAGTCTTTGTTCTCTTTACTTTTTCAGAGAACATACATCAATGTCACTTACTTCGAAGAGCAAAACAAAGAGGAAGCTAATTGAATACGAGTTTACTTTACGTTCAACACAAGTGGAAGACGTTGCCATGAAAGAGCAAAAACGATGATCGAAGATTTTGTCTCCTATTAAACGTAGATGGACTTAAGGCACAAGCCGCCTGTTAACCCTGCCATTATGGGGAGAGGTGTGTAGTGGGGGTGTGTGCGTGGGGGTGTGTAGTGGGGGTGTGCGTGGGGGTGTGTGTGGGGTGTGTGTGTGGGGGGTGGTGTAGAATGACAGTTTGGCTGTTCGAGTAAACACTTATATGATAACTTTTCCTTGTGATTTTTGGGTTAATTAAAATCCAAGTTGGATAGTTGGCTATGCATATACTTTAAAATGTAGATGTGAGTCAATGAAATTCGGCGATCTTTAGAACAGTCAACCAGTACAGATTTAATCAATTTGGGGCTCCGAACTGATTAAATCGATCTGTTTTGTACTTTGAGGTACCGTCCCTTGGCGATGATAAACTCGTAATTACAACGGTGTATCCTTGTTTTAATTTTAGTTGCTAATTTTGCTCATTATCATACAAAATAATATGAACAGTTTGAAATTCAATTTCAACGCTTTATTATCTTCTTTTCTTGAACACATTTTTTTTATATGGGAATCAGAAGTATGACTTATGAAATTTTTATTAATTTACACAGATTATCTTCAAAAAGATGATCATAGCTCATCGTTACATAAAAAGAAAAACGCGTAGATGTGATAGATGATGCAAAATAATGCCTCTTTTTTACATTATTGGAAATTTGACCAGGTGTATTACAATCTACAATAAATCTAAATAAAAATTAAATAACGGTCTGGGCTCTTAGAGGTTAGTTAGTTCAAATCACTTTCCACCTTTGCCTTTCTTTGTGGATTTCTTTGATTTTCCTTGCATGAGTTTTCTGAACTGGTAACTTCTCCAAACAGTTTGTATAACTTCAGCGGCTTGGTTCTGCTTTCTCTCCTCTTCCATCTTTCTCGCTTTCTCCTATTCCGCGACACGTCGCTCCTCGATAATGGCGTCGTATTGTTTTTCTAACATTGCGAACCGCTCTTGCAGTGGCACAAGTTGATCCTTGTCAGCTTCATACATGCGCGTGTAAAGGTCGTATTCGTCCTGGAATGAAAATTCTCAAGGTTATAAGTGTTAGGGTGACGGTTATTAATCAGTAATTTTATCTTGATCCCCGATACTTAATCTCCATCAAAGCCGACGGAAGGTAACTTATTGGCAGGTCTTTTTGCTAAAAAATTGTCAACGATAATAATAATAAAGTTCGGATATAAAGCGCGCTGTCATTGGTTGAAAGGGCGTGCTCTATGAGAGTATAGAGCATAGAACTGAGCTAAAGCTGTCACGCCATTTGCCAAATTATACTATGTTCGACCTTTTCCGGAACTTCTTTTTAGCTTTTTTCCGGTAAATGAAAGTGAAATTTCGGAGCAAGCGAGCCGGCAAGTAGCAACAGAAGAACCAAACAAAGGTTTGTAAACATACCATATATCATGTTCATCAAGTCGTCATTTTACAAATGTAACTTATTTGCTTCGAGTATGGTGTCAGGTATGGGATAATCGTATTGGCCGACATTTTCCATTTCCTCAATACTGAAGTTTGTTATGTCTATCACATATCATCGTTTTCCGCCATCTCAGTACGTAGCGAAACCACATGAAAATAAGTATATGTTTTGAAAGTTAACCATTTGCTATTTATTTATTCGAATCCATTTTAATTTGCTCATTCAAGTTCATTTAGCTTAGCTCGATATACGGGTAACTCTAGACTAAATATCACGCAAACCAGTTGGATAATCAAGGTTCCGTGCCCGATTAGAGGCTGTGTCAATAGATTGACAGCACCAGTTCATCTAAGCAGCCATTTGCGTCATAAATGAAATGAAACTCGGGGTAGAAAAATGTATATACTGCTTAGTCAATGGAAGAAGAGCGTAAGGTAGGACTTTTCTCAGCTTTGTCACTTTTTTTCCACCTTATTGAAGTTTGTTTACGGTTGAATTCAGGAACTTGACTCGAAATTTTAACTTCCGCTGTCGCACCCAAACGTATGATTTCATGACATACTAGTTTGCTGTAGATTTCCCGATTACACTTTTCAAGTACTTTAAACCCGACCAGGCATTCGAGATTATTAGGCATTTAGAAAAGGGTTATCATCGTAAGATGACGTTCAACAAATACATAACCCTATGTTTTCCGACACGCTACAACAGTTGATATACTACTTAGTCTATATAGAATCGTGAATTTTTATTCCCTGGAATATTCTTTACAATTGTGAGTTATAGTTATTCTCCTATGGAAAGCAAAGTGTTGTTTTGATCGATTACATAGTAAAATTAAATGGGTGAGTCAGTCAAGGATAATGGCCGACATGCAACTGAAGCGGAACTCGTTGGCACGTAGTGAATTCGAAGCGTGACGCACATGAACCACTTTCAAGATTTATCGATTACACGTCATGTTTACTTATGAAAGGTGAAAGAGAGCCGTTAACTGTAATTCTGGAAAGCATTGACAGAACAACTTTTTTTTCCTCTAACGGAATGAAATAAGTCCAATGATATTTCAAGATCGGTAAATTTCAGTTGGCAAAAAGCCTTACATGTATACCTCTGCGGTAATGAAAATCTTCGAGGAAATAAAGGGAAATAATAGGACAGATATCAGCGGATTACCGGACTTGCAATAAAACAAATATGGTCTGAATAAATAAAATTTTATTATTATGGTGTAATATGCGCTTGGACGGCTTCTGAAATTATGTCCGGACAAATATCTTTTAAATGTAATTTCGGTACCTCTCCAATGGCAATAGTTGCGAGGACCTTTGCGACAATTTGTATTGAATTTGCTTTATACGCTTACTTTTTTTAAGTCGAGACTTGGCTATTAAGCACAAGCATACTATTTTCTTGGTTAGCTCTGAAATAAAGGACTTTTTCCTTCTAGCACACGTCTAAGTCATTTTCAGCTTAAAACTTCTGTACCCGTTTTTCTTTACGCGTCGTTACGAACTATTGTACTGTAGAGAGAAAACATAAAGATTTAAAGTTCCTTAATGGGTCTGTAACTTGTTTCGCTTCAAATTGAATTCTGAGAGTGTTAGACAGGTGGTTTGCTGAAAAACAAATAACATTATGGAGTAGCACAAATACAAGTTGATTTGCATGTGTAGTTATGGTCTTTTGTCCTTGGAAATCTCTTAAGTGATGTGTATATTTTCGCAATTTTGCCAATGTCAAGAAGCACATTCAAAACTTAAAGGTAATGAATAATTTTTTGTTAATGATCCTTTTTTTCTTTTTTCAATTGTTGATGTCAATAAAAATTAAATTATTGCATCCTAGAATCTATTAAACTTGAGACTCGACCGAATCTCAAGGATTCGTAGTATTCTGCCGAGTAAATTTAATTTGATCTAAGGGCAAATAACTCAATATATCTGTCCATTCCGTTTAAGACAACAACGTTATTGTCTTCCTTTTCGCTCATTTTGGAATCAAATTGGGTCCTCCAAAATGTTTGTCGCATGTCTTTCAAAACTTTCAATCGTCAATCTGACTCATTGATCATAGGAAAGAAAGACATCACAGATACTGAAAGTGTAGGTTAACCACAAAGGTAGCAACAGCAATTATGCGCAAGATACCTTGCCAAAATTGCCACTCCAAAACAAACGGATACACTAAAGAGTTTGATGTGGCTGGGGAAAAAACCGTTTTGTATTCTCTTCCCACAGCGTGAAGACACAGATACTTGTGGAAATCTGACTAAAGCATACAAAGACAACAAAGCTTTAAGATGCCAATGCGCCAAATGGTAAGTCAAATCGTATTCATCGTGATGCGACCAACTGCAACGGATTAGCAACGAGTGAAGGCTATCGTGGGGACCATATTAATTTGATTCACTTGTTTTCGTTTTCTTTTGCATATTTAACTGACCGCCTTTGCCTTAGTGACTTACGAAGCTCAGCTTTTAATCTACATGAAACAGTAAATTGATGGACCCCTATCCTCACTTTCTTTCTCAATCTCTCTCAAACCTGGTTAGATTCCCTCGGTTGTTTTGCAAAAATCGTATCAATAAAGACCGAGTTCGAGGGTTTATATCAACTACCTTCTGGTGTGACAGGTCAAGATAGAGAAATACTTCATTTGCTTTTAGGGAAATGATCTTGACAGGTGTACCCAGGATTAAGTGCAACTTCAAGAATTCATTCAAGGCTTTTCACAAAAAAATTAGACTGACACTTAACAGCTCATTTCCTATCCACTACTTCCTGCCTCAGTGATGGGTCTGAAATGCGATACGAGTTTCTAAACATAAGTTGTGGGTTTAAAAATTCACTTCGCTTTTTATAGAGGCGAGGTATCTCGGTTGCAAAGAGGCAAGATATAGAAAATATGCTTAGTAATACCCCAACTTGTACACTACTTTTAACTTGTCGTCGACCACAATCGGTACAACTTTCGTGCTTCTGTCTTTGCACAACTTCATACAGAATGAACTGTATCTCACATCCGTAGTTTGTGGTTTTCAGGATTTGACCAAAATCAGCTGTAAAATGCCATTGGTTATCTGTGTAGTTTTATTCTTACTTGAAAAACAACTTGGGGCTTTGGTAAACGGATGTTATTCAGCTGAAGAAGCGACTAAACGTAAGTTCTTACATTTTAAAATACCCGTCAATTTTTTCAACCGTTCTGAGTTTACTTCAAATATCTTTGAAATCTCCTCGTTTTGATCAAGTCCAGCCATGGCTCGATATGATACTGCAGCAGTCAACCTGGAAGCAACATCATTTGAAATTTTAATGATTCATGCCTAGGTTAGCAAACGGTAATAGAAAGAAATCAAAGAAATCTTAGTACCAGTAATTCCTGACTTTATGGCTGGATATTTCCAAGGACTAGAAGAGTAACCATTGACCGTAACCACATATTTATATTCCGTTTATTGTCCATCTGACCATTAAAAGTGTGGTGCTGGGTCATTCACACAACTGCAGACCATAATAGTCTTATTCCATGTTCTTTTATTTCTGGTAGGTTTATCTTGGCATGGAGTCTTGAAATTCTTCTTTTACCTACTTTTATTTTAGCATTCTCAGACTTGCCAACTGTGGAAATGAACAACTTGGAATTCCCGAATAAGCACGTTCTTCCAACGGGCTACAATATAACAGTCGTTTGTACAAGCAATCATCCAGCTAAATCGAATCATAAATATTACTTACCCTACTGGATGCAGTATTTTTTCAACGATGCCTACAAGAAAAAATATAGTTGTGGTGGTGGCAATAGTGACTCACATTACGAACGTTCAAAAGTGTGCAAATACTTTATTCAAAACGCCACCGAGGATAACTCTGGGAATTATACCTGCATCTCAAGAAATAGTTATGGCTGCACAATGAAAACGATGGCGTTGATGTTTAAAGGTAACATTTCGTATCATTTGTTTCTTGTTATACATTATAAGAAAATAATGAAGTAGTTCACATTTAGTTTGGTATCTACATGACATTTCATGTCGGGTAAAACTTATATTGTATAATTTTCACTATAAAAACCACTAAAATGCATCAATTTGAATTGACGGGAAAATTGAAAACCGCTGATAACAATTTCATATCATATCGGTCTTGAAGGAAAGTGTGTAATTCGACTTGTTTTCTTTAATTTTAAATTTTTGAATTTTGTTTTTCTTGTTTAATCATAGAGCCATCACCTCCGCTGTTTACTCATCACCAGCCTCGTGAAGTCGTCTCTCTAAATTCGAGTAAAGCCAAACTCAGCTGTAATGCATCAGGTGTTCCCCTTCCCTCCATCACCTGGTTCAAAGACGGTAATAGCCTTTCCAGTTCTTCTGTGATAGGGTCAAAAAGTTATTCAGTATTGAATTTTGAATCTGTACATCCTCATGACCAAGGACGGTATTGGTGCGAGGCAAACAGCACAGAGGGGCAGAGCAGATCAGCTCCTGTAAATCTAACAGGTATTAAAACATTTCACTTTTTTGAAAAACCATAATAATGTTCAAATAATGAAATGTTTTTAAAGATAATGATCATATCCTGTATGCAGGACATAACTACACGTGTACTTATGAATATAATTTTGCGTTTGCTGACTTTCTTCATATCTTTGTAAAGTGGGACAATTACAAGATGGAGTCCCTGATGGATTCTGAGGACCGTCGAATACTTGGGAACATTTTTTCCAGTAGGTTACGGTGGTTCTTAAAACCATGATATAGTGGTAATGCTTCTGAAAGACCACATGTAACGGTTGCCGAGAGTGTGTATGTTAAAATCTCGAGCTTAAGGGACTGGTCATAAGCTATTTCCTAAAGGGGAGGGGGAGAATTTTAGTTGTGTCACAATAAAATTTACCTTATTCACAGGGGACATCAAAATGTGGTAAGAACATCAGTGACACACTCGGCTGCGCCTCGTGTGCCACTTTTTTGTTCTTACCACATTTTGGCGTCATCCGTGATCTATCACTGAACAGACGCACGGCAACTTGGAATCTATTTGTTAAATTGATAGTAGTTCTCGGCCAATGAGCGCACAAGAATTTCTAAAGTTATGGTAAAAATATTCTTATGTTCCTCCCTCCTCCTCATTGGCAGGTGGCTCGAAGTGAATTCTCTATAGTCACCCCTCTCAAACTCTTTTGGTGGCAACTGATCCCCCTTCGTGTCAACTAAAAAAATGTGATCCCCGGGTGTCTGGACTATTCAGTACAATGCTTGTGTAACCGTTGTTGTTACTTTTAGTGGTGTGGAAGCCAGTGTTCTCCATTCATCCCCAAGACACAACTGTGTATCTTGACGATGATGCCACCACCGTGACTGTTAATCTCTCGTGTGCAGCAAATGGCTCCCCACTTCCCGTCATCAGTTGGTTAAAAAACAACTCCAAAGTTGATGATGATGCAGTGATTCGAAGTCAAAACATCTCCATCCTCACTGTTGTAATCAACGAGGGGACAGAAAAGCACTTTAGATATCGTTGCGTTGCTAAAAACTCGTTGGGAAACATAACTTCCCAGGAAGCCACACTGATGATCGCAAAACGCGATGAGGAACGTTCACCTATGAAGGGTAAGCTTACAGCTCTGATTCACAAATAAGATATCGGACCATAGCGGAAAGTTACGAAAAGATCAAATTTCCTTTGTTTTAGGTACAAAGAATGTTTTCCAAAACTTCTTCGAAAGCTTAGGTTGGAATATCGGCTTGAATTAAGTTAGAGTACTTTTTTTTTGCAAAAGCCGTGACGCTAATTAAGCGAAATGGATATACCAAAATCAATGCGATCTAAAACCTAGAGTTTGGATTTTATTTATTGATAGGAGACATCTTGAACATCCTTGTTTTCAGTTTTTTTTATCCAAGGGCTACTTCAGTGACTATGGGCATTTTTTTTTTGAAAGAAAAATCACCACCCTTTTAATTAACCGTGTGCTTTACTTGTGCTTTATATCTAGCATAGTATTTTTTATACAATTGAACAATTTTTGCTAAATCTCGCAATTTTAGCTGATAACGGAACAGTCACCAAAGAAAATTGGTCCGCAATCATTTGGTCCACCGCGATAACCGGAGCTTCAGTTCTTATTTTCATCATAATTCTGTTCGTTATCAAGAGGAGAATGGAAAAGAGATCAATCTACCTACTAGACAAGAAAGTAGGTATTCAAATCGCTAAATCATCGCCTTTTCCTGTTTTCCCAATAATTATCCCGAGACTACACAGGTTTTTCCTCACTAAGAGCTGGTCCTGCCATTGATTCGCACCAAATTTTCAATGAAATGCAAAACTGAGTAGACAATCTGGACTTTTCCAGCTTTATTTTCTCGCATTGAGTTTGCACACATTTATTTTGATCTCTAATAGCCTTCTTTTGATTTACCTTTGTTGTGAAATTTGTTATTAATTTAGTTTCAGTTTTGAGGTCAACAGAGATGGGCACGATAAAAAAATCCGCCCTTTGGTGTACACATTAAGGTCGTTTAAAAGCATACTGGTGTGATGTAATCTGTGTCGTTTGTCAAATTTAGGTTTTTAGAAGGACACAAGAGGCTTTTGAGATAAAAATCACGAGTACAAACGATACGATAAATCAGTTACGAAACAGCCAGTCTGCATTAACCGATGATGGTCAACACACGGATCCATCTACTATTGACGAAAACGAAGTCGTTGGAAACGAAATTTATTTGCAATTAATGGCAGTTGACAGAAACTGGGAGATCCCCCGGGATAGATTGACTATTTCAGAGGAGAAACTTGGCAAAGGAGAGTTTGGAGAGGTTAAGAAAGGAGTTTACCTAAGAACTGATAGAAATGAACTTCCAGTGGCGGTGAAAATTCTTAAAGGTTGAAAAATTAATCCATGTATTTGAGATTAAAATGATCGAAGATATATCTTTCAGAGCTTGTTTACGGAAGATAAATCTCACCTGTCCTCAAATTTTCAGCCTAGGATTAGTATTATCGTTAAGCATGATAGCCTCTACGAGTAATAATAATAATTAAATAATTTATGAACTTACAAAGCGCATGCTACATGAAATTAAAGTAATTCACAGTAAAGGTCGGAAAATGAAGCAGCAGACATGTTGACAACAATCAACCTTAAATTGTTATGTTAGTGATGACAAAGGACATGATATCAAACTGGACAGCAAATGACAGAATTGAAACCTAAAAAATTGGGGACATTTTTCAAGATTTGTGTTTTGCGGCGTGTTAACTTAAACTTAACGTCCAAGCCCTAAGTGATAAGAACGTCATACATACCTTTTGGTGGAAAAAAACTCTTAGAGCAGAAGGGAACCAAGTATTTGGCCACTATATCATAAAGTTAGTTTTCATACCACGTCTTCTTTGACAGATAACAAAGACAGACAGCAGCGAATGGCGCTAATCAAAGAACTGGAGACACTCATCCTAGTTGGTCGCCATCCGAATATTGTCAGTTTGGTCGGAGCTTGCACCTTTGAAGGTAAGGGATCGGCGATTCAAAAAGTTACGGCGAACGTTGGAGGGCAAGTTGTGTCAATGAAAATTTGTGTAGCGGAGATGGAAATAAGATTTAACAAAAAACAATTGTACTGTGGGTGCAGAGCCTCCGTCTTATTTCGATGATTTAGGGAAAGTCTTCATCTCTAGCCCAGAGGTTTTAAAAAGTATGCAGTAAGATGAATTTCGATAAACCGATTTCAAATTCACTGAATCCAAATTAAACTTGATTAATTCGTTTTTGATTCACCGGCACACATATCTTTAAATGAAAGATATTTCCAAGAGACTAGTTTTTCCATGGTAATGTAAAAAAATGATGTATCGATTTATTAATTGATTTGCGTTCATTGATGAAGGGATCACTTTGGGCCATCACAACAAATCCAATGAAGTTTTCTGGAGTCAGCAGTGCAGTGTGATGTTTCAGAAGCACTGTAAGTTTTCAACGTTTCTTTTTCACCTCCAGAACCTCTTTGCATCGTCATTGAATTTGTCTCTGGTGGAAGTCTTGATAAATTACTTCGAAGCAGTCGCGTCCATAATCAACAAGTTGATCCAACTTATGTTAACATATGGTCAAGGCTGACAGAGAGAGAATTATTGAGGATTGCTTCAGACGTCGCTAGCGGCATGAGCCACTTGGAAAGTAAACAGGTTTGTTCATGGATTCGTGAGTGAGGCGCATTTTCTTGCTGGATATACTTTTGGTAACAGTTTTATTAAATATATTGTCGGGAAATGCAAACTAAATAGTTGCGGACTGCAAGCGGCGAAATGCAGATGGTACGTACATAGAGTGGTGCGAAGGAAAAAAAATCCCAAGAGAAATGCGAGTGAAAGAGAAACGAGATTAAAAAAGGTATAAACGGAACATTACAAGCCAAAAAATGTAAACAAAGTAATACAAAATCCAACTAAGTTAACAGAAATAACAGAAAAAAATGGTTTCGCACAATTGACGGATAAGAATTGAGGAGAAACGATTCCTGATGATGGTTATAGAGATAATGACACTTACATAGGTCCGCATGGCATGACTAGATGAGTAGTACTTAATTTCGTTTATCTGTGATTCAGTGCATTCATCGCGACTTGGCGTGCAGAAATGTTCTTGTTGGAAAAGGGTTGGTAGCCAAGGTGGCTGATTTTGGAATGGCACGTGACGTATCCACAGATGGGCAGTACATCAAGGCAACAGAGGTATATATTTTACTTATTGCTCAAAACGATCTTAATGACTAGAACTCCGACAGCTGAGTGGAACTCTACAGAATTTTTAATTAACGCATTAACTCACTTTGGGTGGAGAGCTGGTTTGCCAGCATAGCTCACAATCCTTAACAAAGTATCTATTGCTTCCCACCTTTTCACAACAGTCATAATATAACCGACGAACCACACTGAGAGACTTCACTATATTGATGAATCTTCTCTGAACAGTCAAAAGGAAAGACAAGTGATTACGGTACTACAACGTTCGATATCACCATTACGGCGAAACTGAGATGGGACTCAGTTCTCTCAAAGCAGACTTGCCACAATAAGATTACAATGAACACTCATCGCGATCAATAAAATTGTATGCCATAAACAATTTCTTCCGAGAAGTGGGCATTTGTGAACTAACTTACGAAACTTTATCTTAGGGACGAGTTCCATGGTTATGGATGTCTATGGAGGCGTTAAGGGGAACTTGTACAATAAAGGGAGACGTGTAAGTTATCGGTATTTCCAAGCTGAAATTGGATTACGATAAAGACTTAAAATTACCGAGCTTTACTATTATATTATACTCCTTTCTAGGTGGTCATTTGGAGTAACCCTTTGGGAGATAGTCACTCTTGGTAAGTAAAAGCCCTATTGATAAAATTATGTTTAAAATTAAATTATTGATATCGTAACCAGGAAGAAAAAAAACTAGACACTCTCCGCTCTCCCTCAATCCCAATTTTCTAAAATAGTTTAGCTTGCGAGCAGGCCGTCATTATTTGCGCTGCAGGACGCGCCTTTCTCCTCCCGCGAGAATACTTGAGACGAGTTAGGGAGAGGTTTACCGGGGGTACGGCATCAGTGCAAGACAGTTTGTAGACCTCTCGCCGATTTATGTTTCTCAAGGTCTCTAACTTTCCCAAGGGCGAGGAAACGCACGTGCTTAAGTTCTGATAACAAAGGCTTGCCTTTAGGCTAAAATAGGTATGGGATTGGGACCCTAGTTTAATGCCATCGATCAGTGATGCAAGTGGCAGAAAATGGTGTGGAAAAATCGAAATAGAATTATCAAGATTCTCTGATAAAATTTTCAAGCATCCAAGTTACATCAAAAAGGATTTTATTACCCAGTAGTTTTACTTAAGGTTGGCCATGACGTTTCTAGGCACGAGAGGATCTTCTTCTGATTTTAGCTAACGTTTTAATTGCATATAGATCCTTAGTTGAAGGGTACTAACTTATACTGATAGACCTTCTTCATCTTATGAGATGAAGGGTATTACCATCCAACTGCATTTGATCCTTCTATTTCTAGGGGAACTACCGTACACGGGTATCAAAGGCATTTTAGAGCTTTACGAATTGCTGGAGGATGGAACAAGATTACCAAAACCACTGCATTGTTCGGATGAGCTGTAAGTCTGAGACATTTAGCCTAGATGTATGTTTGTCAAAAGATGTCAGTTTTTTCTCTCATTCTGCATCTTATCTTAATGTAATAAGTCATCCTGTGCTTTTATTTCACCTATCATCTTTTCTTCCCTTCAAGTGACTAATCCACGCAAAAATTTTATTCTGAATAACTCCTTAGTGTCTTTATCATTCATTTGCGGAAGTGGAGATAACAATTCCCATTTTTCATCATTTCTATGAAGACCACATATAACCATATTGAAGAATTTGACTGTCAGCAAATGCTTGATTTCAGTATTTCAGTGCAACCACACAATCAAGCGTACTTTACTGAAAACTTCTGTTGCAACTGTAGATTATAAAAGCAAGCTTTTATTTTTTGGGGTCTAAGTTTGGTACAACAAAAATTAAGAACCGTTTTGAGCTTTAAGCCATTAGGTTGATACAGTGTTTTCTGTGTTACATTTCAGTTATAGCATCATGTTAGGCTGTTGGCAGAGGAACCCTGACGAGCGTCCATCATTTGAACAGCTTTATGAAATGTTGGAGGAACTTTTACAACGCGAGACTGTGAGTGGGCCCATAAAGCTTAGTTGATATTGATGTTTTTCTTCCCGTTTTCTGAATTTCATCGCTGTTTTGTTTCCATTTCCAATAATGAGAGGGGACATACAATAATTAGCAAAATGATAACGATAGCTCATTTGTCTGAGGTTCCTCGAAGGAATGAAGCAAACTAACATGGTAGAGTATTGCTTCCAAATGTTTTGGTTAACCTACGGTCGACTTCCCATTTTTGTCGACAGTTAAGCTACAGAATGTGTTTTAACATTCAACTTGGGCAGTAGGAGCTTCCTTTGATACCATGGGAAAGGCATCATCCTCTCATTCCAGGTCTTGTGTATCGAGGATGAGGAAAAAACAAGTCTGGTCAGTCGGAAGAATTTTAAAATCATGCATTTCAGAAAGTCTTTGTTCTCTTTACTTTTTCAGAGAACATACATCAATGTCACTTACTTCGAAGAGCAAAACAAAGAGGAAGCTACTTGGATATGAGTTTACTTTACGTTCAACACAAGTGGAAGACGTTGCCATGAAAGAGCAAAAACGAAGATCGAAGATTTTGTCTCCTATTAAACGTAGATGGACTTAAGGCACAAGCCGCCTGTTAACCCTGCCATTATGGGGAGAGGTGTGTAGTGGGGGTGTGTGTGTGGGGGCGTGTGTGGGGGTGTGCGTGGGGGTGTGTGTGGGGTGTGTGTGTGGGGGGTGGTGTAGAATGACAGTTTGGCTGTTCGAGTAAACACTTATATGATAACTTTTCCTTGTGATTTTTGAGTTAATTAAAATCCAAGTTGCATAGTTGGCTATGCATATACTTTAAAATGTAGATGTGAGTCAATGAAATTTGGCGATCTTTAGAACAGTCAACCAGTACAGATTTAATCAATTTGGGGCTCCGAACTGATTAAATCTGTTTTGTACTTTGAGGTATCGTCCCTTGGCGATGATAAACTCGTAATTACAACGGCGTATCCTTGTTTTAATTTTAGTTGCTAATTTTGCTCATTATCATACAAAATAATATGAACAGTTTAAAATTCAATTTCAACGTTTTATTATCTTCTTTTCTTGAACACATTTTTTTATATGGGAATCACAAGTATGACTTATTAACTTTTTATTAATTTACACAGATTATCTTCAAAAAGATGATCATAGCTCATCGTTACATAAAAAGAAAAACTTGTAGATGCGATAGATGATGCAAAGTAATGCCTCTTTTTTACATTATTGGAAATTTGACCAGGTGCAACACAATCCACATTAAATCTAAATAAAAATTAAATAACGGTCTGGGCTCTTAGAGGTTAGTTAGTTTAAATCACTTTCCACCTTTGCCTTTCTTTGTGGATTTCTTTGATTTTCCTCGCATGAGTTTTCTGAACTGGTAACTTCTCCAAACAGTTTGTATAACTTCAGCGGCTTGGTTCTGCTTTCTCTCCTCTTCCATCTTTCTCGCTTTCTCCTCTTCCGCGACACGTCGCTCCTCGATAATGGCGTCGTATTGTTTTTCTAACATTGCAAACCGCTCTTGCAGTTGCACAAGTTGATCCTTGTCAGCTTCATACATGCGCGTGTAAAGGTCGTATTCGTCCTGGAATTAAAATTCTCAACGTTATAAGTGTTAGGGTGACGGTTATTAATCATTAATTTTATCCTGATCCCCGCTACTTAATCTCCATCAAAGCCGACGGAAGGTAACTTATTGGCAGGTCTTTTTGCTAAAAAATTGGCAACGATAAATAAGGCCTGTTGTTTGTCACATGTATATTCAAGATTTACATATTTGGCGTCCTCATATGGGAAATGCATTTTCGCAGTTTCGCGGCGTAACAAATTCTGCCCACAGAAGGGATGGTATGGTGCTATCCAGTTCAAGTCACCACCTATTTCTTTGGTGAATGGAGAGTTTGGATAGGTGTATGATAAGTATGCACACATGTAATCGAAATCATCTACTTGTTAAGCCTTATGTCTCCGAGCAGACGTCTATTAGTCATTGCAATAAGTACGGACAACTCGTTATCAACAACTGAGATCAATAAAGCTCGGTATTCCTCTCGAGATGAGTTAAGAAATGAACGCTGGCCCACCGAATAAATGCAAGGGTGATATCACTAAGGATACATAAACTTCCTTAATTTAGAGCACCTCAAAGATGTGACGAATCTTGTATGGTTAAATAAAGTTGAAGGAAGATCTTTTAAGGAGGCATCTTACATTTAAAACAAAGATCACTCACTTGTCTACTACTTAAATCTGCGTCGTATTTTTGGACCCAGTTGAAGACTTCCGTCGCTATCTTGAATCTCCTCTAATGATCACAAAAGTGAAGGGGTGTCATGAAACAGGTCAGATATTTATCAATAATTTTCTCACAGGAGCTTCCTACTAGGAGTTATAATATCCCTAATATCACGACTTTTGTTACTTCATTCGTCTTATTTCTTTCCCTAATTTCTAACAGGGTATAAGTGATCGTGAAAGAGGGAGATTGCAATTGGAAGGGTGAAAGTGAAGTAAGAAACATCCACAAAGGCTCTGCAAGTATACATTAACATCCAACCTTTCTCATGAGGTTTTCATTTGCTCGATGTTCCTTTTTATCTTCTTGGATTTTCTTTCTACACAGGTTTATATCTTCATAACATTTTGCTATTTTAGTCTTTGACGCTTCGCTCTCCTGGGAACATTGTTTAAAGGCTTCTGTCAAAGTTCGTCGCTGTTGTTCAGAATGAATCTTTTCGATCAGTTGCAAGTCTAGCTGAAGCCGCAGAATTGTTGTATCTCGTTCAGAAATCTGAAAGAGTTTATAAACTTTGTATTTACTGTAGAAATTCAAAGAAGGGTAAGAACTCCTAAATCTTGCACTCTACATGTTGACATCGCTGATCCTGACGATATGCGAGACTCCCAAGGAACTCAGTGATAGAGCATCCTAATCTGAAGTCGCTAACCTCGAATCTCTAAATGGGCTGAGACTTTTAATCGACCCCTTGATCATGACACGAATTTTACATTTTCGCAATTTCATGACCGAGATAAGGTTTGCCACCATGCTATCCTAATCACCACACAGGACTCTTTCGATATTGCTCGACGATCATAGGTCATCGATATGTATGTCAGGATCCGCATGAGACAAAATAACTCACAATACTGATATGCATTCTAGCTCGCCAAGAGTTCAGTTCGGCGCAAAGTATTGCAATATCACCTAACTGGTCGTCGGGACTTGAGGAAGATTGTTTCCTTAGATTAAACCAGATACATTAAACAACTTTCATTTTTCCTTTTGTGTTACTATTATTATTATTATTATTATTATTATTATTATTTCTGTTTCAATGGACTTACACCCAGTACATATAACCGTGAATTTACCTCAGACTGCTTTGCTTCTACAGCCGCCTGGTAATTTATCTCAAGCTTTTCTCGTAATGCAGTTGTTTTCTTTTCTCTTTCAATAATATCCGTTAACTTTGATCTCATTTCTTGTTCCTCGAATGGTGATGTCATTAGCCTCTCTTTCATGATACTTTCTACCGATGTCAGCTTGTTCAATAGAGCCGTATGCTCTTGGCTGCGGACTGGTTTGCTCTCTGTTTACAAGAAAACAAGCGAATGGAAATCACTGCAGCATGAAAATAATGTTTTAAGGAAAAAACATAGAGGTTTATCTACCTGCAAAAATTAAACATTTATGACTTTACTGAGACGCAAGGCAGTGAGTAAGAGATAAACATATAAAGAAAACAAAAATAACTCAAAGGATTTTTTATTTACAGGTTTCAGAAGGAAGATTAGAATGTAGAAATTAAAACTTAATGGCTTTGGTACGCTACTCTAGGTGGTAAGTGCAAGAAAACACACATCTTGTGGAATTACAAATAACTAGCACCATTATTTACATCCTTTTCTCACCTGTGACTATTTCAATCGCTTTCGGATTCTTTTTAAAAAACCTGAGTATTTCCCTCAATGAGCTTTTAATTCCTTTTTCCAGAAATTCCACTTCCATCTTAAGATCATATCTTAACTGATTTCGATTCGCCGAAGTAATGCTAACAATGAGGTTATTACTAAATTGTACATTGCCTGATCCAGTCTCTGTCTTGGTATCTCCTTCTTTACGAGATTCATGCTCGACATTCTGCCTTAAACTTTCCTCCAACGCGGCAAGTGCCTCTTTGTAAGCATGTTGCAAGTGTAAATGGCTGATTAAACGCGATGTCAAATCCTGGCCGAAAATAATGGAAAATCGGGTTAATGAATTGAGTATATAGGGGAGAGCCGTAGTGATTTCCATTCGCCGAACTGTTTCTCGAAAAACGGTCATAATTCTTTCAGCCTCTAGAGACTGTAATTTCTTTCGTTTAGGCTCCAGGATTCTGCATGGATCTATGCCACTTTTGCGAAGATAATTAAGATTTGACGAAGGCTTTCCTTTAAGCCAAATGTCGGATTGTCTCGGGGTCTCTATTGGCACCATACTTTCCGTTGTTGATAGACTTCAAATGACGAAACAATGCACTGCTCGTCATTAATTGAAATTACGTAATATTGTGTTGCGTGCATAATTTTACGCACGCACGAAGACAAATTTAAAGTATTCAAGCCAAATGAGGGCTTTATCCATGTTTACATATAGCTTCATCTAGAAAGAAGAGAGCTTGGGGGTTGCTTCTTTTTTGGTTTTGTTTAGTTTTATGTTTTGTGTGTGTGTGTGTGTGTGTTGTTGTCATTATTTTCTATTATGTAAAAAGTTCGATCGGTCTAATTTACCTCACTGACAGACTTAGCTGCAAACTTTTGGATTATTCTCTAGCCGTTATCAAACGAAACAAAAAAATTAATCCCACCTTGTTGTTACTAGAAATATGAGATCGATGACAGTCCCAACTGAATGCTGAATCGCATCAATTTCCTTTTTTTGTTATAAACTGAAACATGAAATTTTGAAATTTTGAATAACAAACTTGTTTTGTATCAAGCCAGGATAATTCTTATTCAAATAAACGTATTGTGTTCAATGACGTGGAACAATAACAAACATGGGAAGTAAATAAGCGTTTTTAACAGGGAAGGGTAAGATAAGAAGGGAGTTTAAACTACCTGTTTAAAAACCCCCGCTAATGGAAATTTAGTTCGCGCATGTCAGATTGACATTTTCAAGTTGAAACCGCTGAAAATTAACGGCTCAACAAGAAAGAGCCCACTGATAACTAGGTCAAAAATGTATATGCACAAAGCCCGAAGAAATAGCTAACTTGTGCGCAGACATTGAGTTTTGCTTCCCTAGTAAATGTTCTCACACAAAAGATTGCATTTGCGGGATAGTTAACCATACGACGGCTTAATGGCATCTTGTTTTGACGCGAGATGACTTATCGCCTTTCTGAGTTCTCCTTATTTTTAGGCAAGATTCTGATTGATTCGAATTTTTGTTTCAATAAAGGAACGACTCTGGCTTTACGTCTCTCCTTTGCCCTTAGTTTCTGTACCATGACGTTTTAATCCGAATTGTTTTGAGCGGTGTAATCTGCAATTACACTTCACCACCGAAATAGTAAATATGGCGTCCACCTCCACTTTGACCTCGAACTAATACGCCCAAACAGCGCGAATTTATCCTCTTAATGCAATCATGCTTACCCATGGGCTAAACAAAGAATACACGATGTATGACAAACTGCTAAAATGTCCATGGCCTTCTGTTACGCGCAAGAAAGTCGCACTACGCACATGCGGCCCAAGCTTCAGCGCTGTGAGATGATCATCTTGCACAATGACAGTCATGGCGGAATTATAAGAGTTTGTATGAGAATATTTACGACCGCTCCATGGAATAAAACAATACGTCAAATTCTCAATAAAAATACCTCACCGTACATAAGAAAAGCCCTTTTTTTTTCTTTTCACGGCCTTTGAGAAAGCTAATGGACCACTATCAGTGCCTTCGGATGAGGTTCTCAAGGAAATTAATGTCGAGAAATAAGCTTACCATGGAAAATCATTAATTGGTAACCATGTACACACTTGATGCAGGGTAACACAAATTCTACCCTTAGAGAAGGAATTTGTCGAGTCACAAAATTCTATTAAATTGTTGCGGTTTTTCTATTGGGTAGGAAGAAAACATCTTTAAACTATATAGTACTGTGGTGACAAAAACAGAGGAGAAATTAGTGTTAAATTTAAACAAGTTTTCAAGTTATTTGTTATTGATGGCAAGATTGATAAGCTTGGTAAGAAAAAGAAAAAACCTGACTTTCAAGGAAAACATGAATACATTAATAAGATCATGTCTTAAGTCTGTTCCACCTTTTCTTGTTTTCTTGTTGCAGAGGAAGATATCACAAATTTTCTTCAGCTCATTAGGGAAAAATTCCCAGACATAATGATCACACCAAAGCTCCATATGTTAGAAGAACATGTTTGCACTTTTCTTCAACAATGGCTCATGGCCCTTGGATTCTATAGTGAACAAAGGATTGAAGGAATACACTCCTTCAATCGAATTCAACACCCAGTCCCAGCATTTTGACCATGTGAAGAAAAATGACACGAGATTACGTCAAATCCTTGTTAACCACTACATTGCCACGAGTCCGGAACTAGCAGGGAAAGCTCCCAAACCTAATGAGAGAAATTTAAAACGAAAAGCGAACGAGTAAATCTCTTTCCTTTTCACTTGCAATGTATCAGTTCGTTGACTAAGAGCGAGGGTAAAATTCCCGCACAGCCCCATACTATTGTTAAACAAGTAATTTAGTGTTAACAACTGGGTTGAAAACGTAAATTAGCCACCGTAAAGAGTAAAAAAGCTGACGTTTCGAGCGTTAGCCCTTCGTCAGAGCGATTGTTAAACAAATCTGTTTTCCCAATAGCAATGTATTGTTTTTGTCGTTGTTTTCTTTAGCCAAGAACTGAATGCATAATAAGTATAGGGCTGTTCGGAAATTCTACCAGAACGAGCACTATGTATGTAAATCTAGTGTAATTTATTTGCTCAAGTACTAATTTAGATGAATAAAAGTGTTACTGCACTCTTTGGAACCAAAACTAAAGCTCTCCAGTCGTTTACAGACTGTTTTGCTCGATATTCAGTACCTCCGAAATTCAAAACGGAGTCGCATAACGGCCGATCTTAACATATTAAAAGCGCCTCGAAAGGAGTCTCAGGCAATTCGGATTAAAAAACTTACCTCTATCAGTTGTTCAGTAACGTTTCAAGTCTTCTCTTGTGACTCTTGCTTTGCTGGAAAAAATTCGGGCCTTTTGCAAATTGAAATCCAAGTTTTCAGTCGACTTCATAGGGTGTGCTTGTTGGACTCCACTATAGCAACGTGTTTTCGTCGAATACAGGCAAAATTTCACCGATTTTACTCAAATTTCCCCCCTCCCCTTTCCTCTCCTCTCTCTCCTCCCGGTAATGTTTTAAAAAAATTTGAAAAGATCACTAAGGCGCATAGGTCAAGAAATGTACTTGCGTTTATGTGATTTGTGTAAAAGCACACTAGGAGCAACCTTTCTCATTTTGTACCAAAGTTTTGACTTCTTTTGTGAAAGTAAATGAAAATTAGGAATAATTTTGAGCGTAACATCATCCAGATCGGTGTTTTCAATAAAGTTTCCCCTGTTGTTAATCACTCGGGCGTGATCAATGCTGCTTTTCTTGTCCATTTAGAAAATTTAGAGAAGCAAATCATAGCCATTCACTGTGCAACCGTGCAAAAATAATTTGTTTATTCATAAGGTTCTTTCGGTTTTGAATATTTTAGCTCATTGCAACCTATAGGTTGGATCACAATACTTCTAAGTGAAGAAAGCTTACCATAAACTCTATTCCAATGTCTCTTCAATAGATCATAAGCATGAATTACTTCATCGCCTTTGTAGTGGCTTCGATGTCGTGCCCTTTGCCAGGAGGTGAGTTCATCCAATGTCATTTATATGTTTACGCTGTATTCAACCTCTGTGCACTTCAACACTATCGACTCCTCCTAAACTCTACGAGAAAAGTATCATTACTTAAGCTGACGATTGAAATTAGGCCTATCTATTTTTCTTTCTTTGAATGGTTATTTGAATCGGCGGCTACAGTGCGAAAATATCATGAAAATTGGAAATCGTCCCTGTACCAACGGATGCATTCACAGTTCAACAGATGATGTTGTGGAAATACACGGGATACGAGTTCTGCGAATTTATCTGCAGAAAGCACAGTTTTTTCAGGGAAGCTGTTGTTTCCAGCAGTGCTTAACACTTTCAATCAAAGCAACGACATGTGTCCTTCAAAAAAACAATTATTCGTAAGCTGTACAATATCGCGACTCTCGTACAGCTGATTTGCTTTATACTATGCTATACGTTGCATTCGCAGGCCTTTCTGGTCGGCATAAAGCCCGTTATCCTATTCCGAGGCAAGTTTCAATTTAATATTGATAAAAAAAAGGAAATTGTGATAAACTACAAGATTTACTAGCTGCACATGTTGTCGTGCCTCACGAACTCCACCAATCAAAAATCAATAATTTCACACCTCAATGATCGCACCATTTCAGTCATACACATACGTGATTATGCACTTGTTATCCAAACGTAAAGAAACATTATAAATTAAAAAAAAAGACACGGTTAAAACTACATTCAATTATTTTTTATCAATATCTCCGAAACTACCGCAAGGAAATTATTTACTTACCTGTTGACGGTTTCACAACTTGCAAAAATAACCGATATAGATCGGAACACCTTTTAAGCTTCTCCAGTACCCTTAAATTTGATTTGAAATCTCATTGATAATAGACTTGAATTACATTGCTTTACTTTTATTTTTATCGTTATCTGTATAAGACGAAATCCTCTGCACTGCACGTGTGCAAATATTTTAAATTCCGTATAATATTGTTTTCGTGGTGAGATATGTAATGTTCAATTTTTAATTTTTTGTTACGGTATGATCGAACCGACAGAAAATCACTACAGTCCCACGAATTCAACTACTTCATCAAACAGCGAGTAATGTTCTTAACAAGGAGCGACTTCTAAAAGCAGTACAATACTTATCGTTAATAAGGAACAAGTCGTCATTCCGTCAACAACTCTGTGACCGCTACATAAGTGACTCTACATATATTCACAAAGTGTTCTGGAACGTTCCAGATGCTTATATAAGTACTATTTGTATAGGAAGTCACAGGATTTCGAGTACAATTTGGAATTTACAAGTGCTTATTTATTCCAAATCGTACGGAAAAATTCGTGTGATTACGTACTTATAATAGACATGAAAAAATACGATGTAGCTTATCATAATTATGCAGAAGCAAAGCGCACGCAAGTGCAAAAACAGTTTATTCAAACCCTGCAGGTGACATTGTGCGTTCGGTCGAAACAACCGATAAGATGAAATGAAAAAATCAAAGGTCAAAGTCCAGCTAAACAGTTCAAGAATTTTCAGTCTGGTTTGCTATTTCTTTCCACTGAATTAACCCTTCTGCATTTAATTACCTGAAATTTATCTTATTATGGTAGTAATATATAATAAATGTGTGACTCGATGAAATGTTCTGTCCAGCAGTCTGGAAATTTCTAGAAGCTTTTATTTACAATAATAACTAATGACAGTTTGGATAGTAAATTAACGCTTGCCAAGAATAACATTTAAGTCGTAAACTCTTGATGTATGTGATACGTATATACATTTTAAGATAGCCACACACGAAGGCAGATGAGGCATACAGTTACAAGCACCAATCATGAACCTTGGACATCACGACCTTAAAGTTGGGAATTTGGACCTTTCAGAGCAAATGCTTTCAACTGCCTTTTCTAGGAGACTCGATGATACCCCCTTGGGAATTTTAGTCGACTTTGTAACTTTATTTACCGCTCTACGATTACTGTTTGCCCAATTGATGTAGGAATGATCTGAAAGAGTTGCTATTTTCCTCATGTGCCAGTTAGCTGATTGTAAATCATCATTAAACATCTCTACTACTGCTCCGCCTGGTTCCATGAAAATAGAGAATGCATGAGCCGCACCATGCATTCCAAATAATATGTCTGTATTGGCAATTGTTTCCAACTGTGCTTTTAGTGGCCATAGATCTATCTGAGCAGCAGTAATGTTTGCATGAATGAAGCTGGTCTTAATTTCTCGTAAAACTTCTGCCTCATTGGCAATTTTTCTGTCTATAACTCCGGCCAAATTCCGAGGATGACTCTTGTAGTCTCTCCTCAAGATGATTAACACATTCAACTTTTTCTGACTACAATTTCGCAAATGTCTACTCGTTGAGATTCCAAACTGCCCTAATACAAAAGACCTAAATGGTTGGACATGTCTTGAAGACTTTAGGTTGATGTCTAATAAAGGACACTTCTCGCGTGAATATCTCCAAATAAGATTTTCGAACACAACGCCATTTGAGTTTGTAAAAAAATGTTTATCATTTAGTTTTATTAGCCTTTGGAACAACACAGTCCAGAAAGGGTCCAGCGAGGACTTTGGATGAGCATCGATGAGAATGATGTTCAAATTTTCAGGTTGTATACCCAAACTTTGAGACGAGATGAAAATATCCAACAGATCAATGATAGTCCAATAAACATTGGCAAATTCAACCCTTTGGATCGCAAAGTAATGGCCATCTTTAAATGATTGCCGCCCTCCAATTTGCAAATATTGCGAAGGACTTGCAACGTCCATGGCCGCCTTCCATTTCATCAATGTGTTGTCCTTGTCTGCAAATAGTAACTGCCTTTCGATCTCGACAATATTCCCACGGCAATAAAGTGTGAAGAAACCTTTATCTAAGACAAAAAACTCATCCTCTTCGCTAGGGAATTCTAAATGGGCCTCGAGAACCCTGGCGTGTCCAAACTTTGGTTTAATGAGAATAGACCTGAAGACCACTACTCCATCTTGCGTTACTTGAACTCTTCTAGTACATGAACTGTTTACTAGCGGAAGTTTCCTTGCCTCAGAGGAAAGGAGACTTGTAACTTTCGGTGGATTTGCCAACGTTGCAGGCTTTTTTATCCGGTTAAACGAGTTCGTAACCAAATGCCTAATCCTTGGGCCAATGTGTTTTGCTATTTGCTCATCATTAACTGTTCTGGTTTTTTCAATCGTTGAATATGAGTTTAGAAAATAGATATTAATGGAAACTACTATTATGCCAAATAATATCATGTGTGAGTATTTGGTAAGGTTTACTAGTTTTGAGGCAACGAAGCTTTTTCCAAGACCGGCCATGTGATACTTGACTCGTTTTTGCTGTACTCGTTTTCGCCAAACTGGAAGGGAAATGCAAAATTTTTCATAATATGATAATTATTACTCTCATTATTATTAATACCATTTTGATTTTTATCATCTTTTTTGCCATTAGTAGTCTAAGGCCCCTCATAACTTTGTATTTTGGTCAGGTACAAAACTCTTGATTTTAAATGCTCGTTCTATTGATGCTCATGATCAAATGAAACAGAAAAATTAATCCCACCTTGTTGTTACTAGAAATATGAGATCGATGACAGTCACAACTGAATGCTGAATCGCATCAATTTCCTTTTTTTTTTGTTATAAACTGAAACATGAAATTTTGAAAGTTTGAATAACAAACTTGTTTTGTGTCAAGCCAGGATAATTCTTATTCAAATAAACGTATTGTATTCAATGACTTGGAACAATAACAAACATGGGAAGTAAATAAGCGTTTTTAACAGGGAAGGGTAAGATAGGATTTAAGAATTTAAACTCCCTGTTTCACTCTAAATATAGCTTCATCTAGGAAGAAGAGAGCTTGGGGAAAGAAGAGAGCTTGGGGGTTGCTTCTTTTTCGGTTTTGTTTGGTTTTATGTTTTTTTTGTATGTGTGTTGTTGTCATTATTTTTTTATTATGTAGCGTCTTTTTTCAAATAAACATATTGTGCTCAATAACGTGGAACAATAATAAACACGGGAGGTAAATTAGCGTTTTGAACAGGGAAGGGTGTTTCTTATTACAGATTTAAGCCAAGCACCGTACTCTCATTCATTGATAATTTAGTTTAAACACGAGAGAAAAACTCTATATTACCCTCGAAAATTTCGTTTGAGGAGGATGGAACCTCCTCTCTACCCCCCCCTGCTCTCTCCACTCTCCCCTCCTGGTGATGTTTTGAAAATTTTGAAGAGATCACTTAGGCGCGTAAGTCACGAAATGTACTTGCGTTTATGTCATTTGTGTAATAGCACACTAAGAGCAACCTTTTTTTTTTTTTTACCAAAGCTTTGACTTCTTTTGTGAAAGTAAATGAAAATTAGGGAATAATTTTGAGCCAAATATTATCAAGATCGGTGTTTTCAACAAAGTTTCACTTGATGTTAATCACTCAGGCATGTGAGCCATTAGTAGTCTAAGATCCCTTATAACTTGGTAGTTTGGTCGGGCACAAAACTCTTGAATTCGAATGTTTGTTCTACTGATGCTCATAATCAATCCTGAACCAGACAGGATGAAGGTTGTACATTCTATCAAATAAGCTTTGTTGCTCTCTGACACTTGGTGTCTATATATGAAGCGACTCTTTAACAATCTTCACCGAGCCTGTGAAGACTCACAATTAAAAGTTATTGTTTTTATGATCATGCACATTGCGTTCATCGGCTTTCTTACCGGCGTCATCCTCTCGAGAGGCTTGCGTGGTAAAAGAGGGCTGCGATCATTGTTTAAGAATTATTTGACGGAAGTTGAGCGAGTTTTAGTCTTCTTTTGTTTGTTTCTTTATTTGTTTTGTTGAGTCATTAGAACTGAATAGGAAATGACACACGAAGTATTTTTTTGCTTCGAAGGGAAAGCTTCAAACATCAACTAATCTTTATTTTACCGCAAAGTACTTCAAAACTTCAAAAGTGATACAGTCCAATCAACTAAGACCCATTCCAGCTTAGGGCTGATCACTTGATTTGTGAAATGTTCTCGATTAATGGAAGATGTGACGTTCGTTTGGCTAAGGTTTGAGAAAATGTTTTAGAGATCTACTCATGAGATCCATTGACAACTATCTGACCATTTGAATTCAAAACGTTTGAGCGCCAGAAAAGTGTTGAATCGCTTGTTGCATCTTGCGGTCAATGAAGAAGACAATATCACTTAAATTTCCACCGCTCTTCTGGCCTGCCACAAAATCGCTTTAGTTTAGATAGTCTGTCACTCAAGACTAGATCAAGATTAGACACTCAATTCCAAGAGAGGGTGGCGAAGGTGTTTTTTAAGGTCCTCGTTCATGTGCCATTAACAGGCTTATGTAAACTTACACCCATTCATTTTCTGCCCGATGAATAATTTATTTCGCACTAAAAATGGTTCCATCATGCACTGAAAAAATGAGTCGTTTTTGTTTTCGTTTTCGACGCACTTCATGCACTGCAAGTATTAAAGAGGTTTCTCAAACAATAGCGTCCGAAGCTAAGAATGTAGAGGTACGTTTGTTCTCCCTTTTCCTTGCCTCTTGGCTTAGACATACAGGACAACGCCTGCTAAGCAGGCCAAGATTCATGGTAAAGAAAAAGTGATCAATATTAGAATAGAGTGAATTGTCACGAAGCTTAATAATAATTACTCAAAGCTCCCCTCTCCTAACCAAAAATCTAGGAAGCAATCCATATGCAGCACATTCCTCAGGTGTATGAACCTTGGGGGGTTAAACGAAGAGGAAACTTTCTTTCTGGAGATGCCTCTAGCGTTTTTACTGAGTAAACGCGGAAGACCTCATTTCGGTCGATTGGCTGCCAACTTTGACTTCAAGGTCGATTTTCAAGTTCTCTGCCTTCAAGTTTACTGAGTTCGACGTACAGATCTTAGTGAAGTTACCTGGGTTTTTACAGGTAGAAGTTCACTGAAAGCGTGACATAAACTAACCATTTAGGAAAGCGACTCTTAGATTTTTTAGTACGAAACTTATTATTCTAACAACCTTTTTAGTCATTAACTTAATTTTCTTCTGAATTTTGAAAGCTTACCTTTTTCTATTTCCGCTGGTCTGTGCTTGGATCTCGGTGAGTTAAAAAGAGCCACGTGAATTATAGCTGGGATCAGGCAAAGAAAAATTAAGAAAGAGAGATTGTAAGAATTATGTTGAATAAACCCCGTTCCACCCAGTGATCTCTCCACCTCCAGAGAAGCTATCTTCTTGTCAACATGTCAAACACGTTTACAACTCGAGGTATTGTTGAGAAATTAAACTCTTTCCTATTCCACCCACTTCCAGACAACCTTTTATGTTGTTGACACGTCAAATAATTTGACATTCATTTAAAAGCATAACACGTCAACGAAACGGGGAATAATTGAAAAATTGGACCATTTTTCTCGACCTATCCCAAGAGGAAGACACATCGTCTACTGTCTTAACTCGCCTTAACACAACTCTTTTAGGGATGGAAAGTCAAAAAGACATTCAACAATATTTTTGGTAAACTTTTGAGTTGGAGAGACTCCAGTTAAGTAAATACCATTCTAGCTTCGTTTAGCCTCCGCCACGTGAAGGCATGTGATTGACTAAAATGCCAGTGTTGATGAAAACTGTCAATCAAACAAGTCTTCCGAAACAACTCCTTCGGGCTCTCATTCCACAACCAGTTCCCGGGTTTGTCTCTCATTCGTTCTGCTGATCTCTTGTCACCACCAATAGAGATGTCGGATTAAAGAATTAGCGGACTGAAAAAAAAAAAAAAAGGATTCAAACCTTTGGAAATACAGCAATTGGTATTTCGCTAAACATTCTTCAGTTTCCATTCCATTGGGAAGTCCAAAGCTGAAAATTCATTGCTATTTTCCAAAGTGGACTTGGACTGACGAAACTAATATAGTCCAGTAACACGTTCATCCCGCTTTTGATTTTCGATCTTTCATTCGACCTTCAACTCTTACACGTGTACGTTGTTTCTAGTTGTGGCTCAAATAACTGCAGACATAAAACTGATAAATAAACTTGTTACTCGAGTGAGTTTATGTCCAAGCTACAATGGGCACGCACGCACACATGAGGAAAGACGCCATTCATGTAGTCTTACACTCATCTTTTAGCGCCCTGAGAAGGGAGAGTTTTGGAGGGAATCACTCGGTTTTCAGGGGGAAGGGAAGATTAGTCATCACAAACAGAATATTAAGGGGGGAATTACAAAATTGACTACGAACGAGGGGGAGGGGCATAAGAATGCTACAAAACCCTGTGGGGGGATCAAATAAATTTTATCGTGACACGACCAAAATCCTCCGACCCTCCCCTCCCCCCCCAGCGCCTCAGGTGACAACATTTAAAAACGAATAGCAAATTTTCCAGAAGTACGAAACTTAAGGTAACTCCCTCCAACACTTTACTTTGTGCTTTTAAATACGTGAATTAGTAATTGAAAACTTCGCGCTTCAGTGCAATGTTTACATGGTAACGTTCAATGATAGTTGAGTGAAGAGGTTCAGGTTTTTCAACTTATAACATCGCCAATCGTAAGAATTTGTAGTACTTGAAAGTCTCTATTCAATAATTTGGTTCCTCTGGTGGGATTACTTTTCGCTACACTGTGATCCTTAAAATATTATAAGATATATATACAGATGATTAACAAACAGCGTCAGTCCAAAAAGGTCACAGGCTCTCTATAAAGTTTTTGACCACATGCATTGTTAAAGCAGCTGCTTGAACTGAGTTAAATCTATACATATGTTAAAAATTGACATAAATTATTTGAAAATAAACCAATGCAATGAAAAGGGCAAAAAAAAGTATTAAAAATGCTAGAAGTTTCATAATTTTCTGAAATTTGAATAGATATTACATCAGTCAATATCTTATAGCACGGTACGTTTTTGCAGTTTCTTCGTAATTCATATCTGTAATCAACCAACGTTAAATGGAAGGCTGTAAGATAAAATTTTGAATGACTTGAAAGTAACAGTCATCGAATCTGAGAGATTCATGTAAGATGGTTCACAGGAATCAAGGAAGAAACTTTATCAATTTTCCATTCCACCAAAGTTCTAATTTCAGCTAGCTTTTTCACTGACAGCGATAACGATTTAACTTTGAATTAATCACATTGTTTCATTGTTTATTTATACAGCCCTATAATGTCGATGTCCACTTCTCCGTGCGGCGGTTAGTGAGGAGTTGTCTTACGTCAAGATCGATCACCGATGATTTCTCTTCTTGAACATTGACTTGGTAGGTACCGAAGTCATAAGATACTCTCTGGAAGTTTTGGTTCTCCCTCGC